CCCCGTCACACAAACGTGCCGCGCATGCACGGCGCTGCCCCCACGCGCGGCGCTGCCCCACGCGCGGTGCCGCCCCATGTGCGGCGCGCATGCGCGGGGCGGCCCCATGCACGGCGCGCATGCACGGCGGCGGCCCCATGTGCAGCACGCATGCGCGGCGCCGCCCCCTGAGGGGGGAAAATGGTGGATCGCCTTGTTTGGCGACCCCCGAGAAATGGTCGATCGACCCCAAATGGGGTCGCAACCCATAGGTTGAGAACCGCTGTTTTAGAGGAAGGGAATAAAAAGTACTGAAGCAATTCCTTTTAAAATGCTATTTCTTAAAAAAAAAAAAAAACCCACTGTATTTATAGCTTTTCACTGTGCATTGTCCCACAGATCCCTGACATACTTTGCTGGGTTCAGACTTGCACTTGACCAAATTACATGAACGTGGGAAGGAGGAGGGATGATTTGTTCTTAGGAAGCTGCATGGGTAATCACAGTGGAGGCTGCAGAGAGAAAGATTGTTTGGCTAAAAGTATTGCTTCTTTCTCCAGCCGGACCTGAATGCTGGATTCTGATTTTCTATAGTATAAGAAGAAAATGTATTTCTTCTGATAGCCAGATATAAGTGGGTCTACTCATTACATACTCTGAAAAATTCCCAAGGTACATCCAATCTCTCGTTAAATCGGACTACTGAAGCAGAATGTTGAGTCATCCAATATATACATTAATACTATATTTAATAATAATAACAATAATAAAATAAATAAAAATTGGAAGGGACCTTAGAAGTCATCTAGTCCAATCCCCTGCTCAGGCAGGAAACCTTATACATTTCAAATGGCTGTCCAGTCTCTTAAAAACTTCCAGTGTTGGAGCATTCAGAACTTCTGGATGATTAATTGTTCTAATTGTCAGAAAATTTCTTCCTAGTTCTAGGTTGCTTCTCTCTTTGGTTAGTTTCCATCCATTGCTTCTTGTGCTGCCTTCAGGTGCTTTGGAGAATAGCTTGACTCCCTCTTCTTTGTGGCAACCCCTGAGATATTGGAACACTGCTATCGGTGCTATCGTCCTTCTCTTCATTAGACTAGACCAGTGATGGCGAACCTTTTTAGAGATTGAGTGCCCAAACTGCAATCCAAAACCTACTTATGCATCGTTGGGTGCCGGGTGGGTGTGGCCCACTGGGTGGGTGTGGCTGTGGTGGTAACGGCAGACAGGGTGGGACTAAAAAGTTCAATCAATTCCAACTTTGCAAGATCTTTTTTTTCCTGTGAGAAGTTGAAATTGACTTGATTGATTGAATCTTTTTTTTTTTTTGCACACGGCGGCGGAGGCCTAAAGAGAAAAGGTTTTATAAAACCCAGCTGAAGGCCTAGGACTGGGGCACAGAGAGGGCTCTGAGTGCCGTCTCTGGCACCTGTGCCATAGGTTCGCCACCACTGGACTAGACATATCCAATTCCAGCAACCATTCCTTATCTCGTTGCTTTTCTCTGGGTACTCTTTCTAGAGTCTCAACATCTTTTTTACATCGTGGTGACCAAAACTGGATGCCTTCACGTGAACTTGATTCTATCCCTCTGTTAATGCAGCCTAGCACTGTGTTGGCTTTTTTGGTAGTTGTAGCACACTGCTGGCTCATATTGAAGTGATTGTCCACTAGGACTCTGAGGTCCCTCACAGTTACTACTGTTGAGCAAGGTATCACCTATACTGTACCTGTGCATTTGGTTTTTCTTGCCTAAATGTAAAACCTTATTTTTTTCACAGTTGAATTTCATTTTGTTAGTCTGTCCAGATCCTCCTATATCTTAAGCCTGTCTTCTGGAGTGTTGCTATTCCTGCCAGCTTGGTGTCATCTGCAAATTTGATGAGTTCCCCATCTATCCTCTCGTCCAAATTGTCGATGAAGATGTTGAAGAGCACTGGGCCCAGAACAGAACCCTGGGGCACCCCACTACACACTTCCCTCCATGTAGATGCGGTTCCATTGAGGACCACACGCTGAGTACGGCTGGTCAGCCAGCTACAAATCCATCTGGTGGTGATGCTGTCTAACTCACATTTTTCTATATTATCAAGTAGTAGGTTGTGATCTACTTTATATATTTTTATATTAATTCCCTTTGAACTACATTGTACATTTCCAATTATCTCACACACATAACATTTTTTGCAGCTTGTCACGTCATTGCTTTCCGATCTGGATACTCTTCAAATGTATGGATTCCATCTCTCAGTATTTTCAGCCATTGCTGAGCATTCTGAAAGTTAAAATCCACTCATCTTCAGGATGCTGAGCTTGGGTAAGAATGCAGTAGTTTTTCTTACAATTATATCCCTTTAAAATCATTGTCCATTACTTTTAAATAGATATGCATAGGACTGATCAGTTACTGATCAGTTGTAGTTGCATTTCACAGAGGTATGGTATTTATTGTTTCTTGACAGATAAGAGTGCTAAACTATTCAGGACATCATGCATAAATATTCATATTTAACTTCTCTTTATTTCAAATCTGCTTACTTTGGATAGAGTGTACTAAATTATTGTAGAAATTATTAAATGAAATTGGTGTTAAAAGTATTTAAGTTCATGTTTATATATATTTTTTTTTTATTTCCAGTAAGTCACACATCTTTTGATTATGGCTAAGAAGTGATGTACTGTAATTAAGACCTGTCTATGGAATCTTTCTGCTGTTCTTTTATCTCAGTGTTCTTAAATTTTTCAAGGACATGGAACATTTATCTGTCTGAACATCTATTTCTTCTTCAAAAGAAAAGATATTGAAACATGTTTTAGTGATACTCTATTTTCTCTTACATTCAACACATCAGGTGTAAGTCTTCATAGTATATATGAACTTGCATATAATGGCATTATTTCACCAATGTCGAGTGAGATTAATAAAAGAAATTATAGTCCCTTTTGATATTTGGTCTTGGTTGTAGTGTGCAATAAGGATTCACTTTGAAAAAGATAGCAGCAGAAGATAAGAGTCATGAATGCCTTTTCACCTAAAAATTAATATCTTCCTCAAATTTTCTGCCAGACTTTTTGTTTTTTTCAATTAATTCAGTGTGATATTGGAGGAGAGACTTGTCAGCTTATTATTTTTGAATAGGCCAGTATTACATGAAATTGAAGAGGGGGGAAGGAGGGAGGTTTAAACAGACTGATACATACTATTGAGTATTGAAAGTTATAGCAATAGTGCTTAGACTTATATACCGCTTCATAGTGCTTTACAGCCCTCTCTAAGCAGTTTACATAGTCAGCATATTCCCCCCTCCCACACACACACACACGCACACACAATCTGGGACCTCATTTTACTGACCTCGGAATGATGAAAGGCTGAGTCAACCTTGAGCTGGTGAGAATTGAACTGTTGGCAATCAGCAGTCAGCAGAATTAGCCTGCAATACTGCATTCTAATCCACTGCACCACCACAGCTCTTGCATGTCATCTAACAATGGCCATAAAGAAGTCTGGTATGTTATTGCTTTTTTTTTTAAATTGCTGCAAAGAAATTAGAATTAAGATGGGCAGACCAAGGGTTTGGGTGTGATATGGCGTTCTATTTTGCAGGCAGAGAATGCATAGGTGCTTGTATGCAGTACTGTGCCCACAAGTCATAATGTTGCTGCAATTGTGCAAATACAAGGATTATTATATTAGCCTGTGATGCTTAGCTGAAAGCTGATGTGCACTTTACATTGTGCATGTTCTCATGTTAATTATTAACTTCAGCGTACATTTAGAAATGAAAAAAATCTGTTAACTTGAGCTGATTTGCCAGACTTCAATACATTTGGGCATTCCGTGCGTGTTTTGTCTTGTTACCAATTACTTTAATTCAGTTCACAACCACCAACTGTTTTTGTAGCCAGTGGTACATTTCTATGCAAGTAAAATATCAGCAAAGAACAATTTGGTTGCTTTCATTAGATTTGTGCCTAGGGACATATCAATACTTACATAAAAATTGGCAGACATTATTTAAAACACACAACTTCAAAACATTAAGATTTTATAGGGGAAATACGCCATTTGAAAGAAATATTGAAAAAAATTGAGTGCATTTTATATCCTATAATCCAGTAGTTCTCAACCAGGGCAGTTTTAAGGTTTGTCAATTTCAAGTTCCAGAATTCCCCAACCAGCATGCTATACTTCTGTAATCTATTGCAGGGGTCCTCAACCTTCGACAACTTTAAGACTTGTGGACTTCAAAGCTGGCTGAGGAATTCTGGAAGTTGAAGTCTACAAGTCTTAAAGTTGCCAAGGTTGAGGACCCCATATCTATTGAATGACATAGTGTCAGCAATTCTTCAAGTATGGTCTGGGTGCCCCTGGAAGTCCCTGATCCCCTTTCAGGTCAAATAATATTTTAACATTTCTCAGTTTTAATTTATAATACAGCACGTATTGATAGATATAATCTGTGTAAGCCAAAACTCTTTGGAGTCCTCAATCATTTTTAAGAATATAAAGGAGACCTGAGACCAAAATATTGGAGAACCAATAAATGAAAATCTTTGCATATTGCCTGTTGAGAAGGGCTGTTTTTTTAAGTAAGAGATTTTAATCTGAAGAATTTTTTCAGCTAATGTTAGAGTTGTGTTCTCTTAGTTTCCTGTGGCTGAAACTCCATCAGGTTTTATTTGTCTACTGGAATCTCTTAGTAATTTACTATAAGTTTTTGAGCTCTGAATTATTGGAACACCACCAACTTGAAAAAATTCAGAGATTAATATGAATTTGCCATGATCTTATCCATAGTTTTTAAAATAAATCTGACAACCTTATATGAAGATACAGTAGATCTAAAACAGGCACGTCAAACTCACGACGTCACGTGACGTCGCACAAGGTATCGGGCCGATTTTGCCATTGCCAGCAATGGGGTGGGCATGGCTTCCACATGACGCATCCGGCCTGCGGGCCGGCAGTTTGACACCCCTGATCTAAAAGAATCCCCTAGAATAAGAGAGAAAAGCTGTTGAAAGAACTAGTATGTTCTTTATTTTATGTATCTGTCTGATTACAAAATATTAATGTAGAGTTATAGCCATATAGAAGTAAAAACTAAACATTTCCATTTCAAAACTGTGTTTTGTAGTAATCATGCTATCAGTTGCAGTTTGAAAACTGAAGATCTAATTTAAGAACTTGCAAAGTTAGCAAAAGGAAACGTAAGAGAACTTGTTTTATCTTCCTTGAATTTTTATTGATTCAAGTTTAAATTAAAATTACTGCCCTCTGAAGCTCTTCAGAAGTCAAACACACATCAGTCAAAAGAACAACACTACTTTCTATGTTAGAAAAGTAACCTGAACTCAAACCTATGATCTATTTAAATAGAACTACTTACTAATAACTTGGCTATTTAAATATAAATGGAAAAGTTAATTTCTTCAATTTAATTAAGTTTGTTGCATGTCTTCCATTTTGCTTAATTTGTCAATAAAGTAAAATAATCTTTGGAGCAATTATCAATCAGTGTATACACAGAACAATGTAATTTTTCATACAAATAGCATAGATAATTCCTTTTGATCAACTGTGGATGCTGGGAGTTCTTGAAAAAGAATGTAACTATGGCTAACTATAATCAAGGTTCTCTATCTTGTAGATATTCTGAAGAATGATACACTATTTATTTATACAGGTATAAATAACCTTTGGCTCAGGTTTTAGATGGCATATAGGTATGACCAGGACCTACTTTTTTTAGGTTTGGGTGAATTTAAAGGGAGGGGTGAATTCAAACAGATGCCTTAAGTCCCCATGAGGTTTAAAGTGTGCTCTTTACAAATCTTGCCAAAACAGAACAAAAATGAGGCTGAAAATATTGGTTCTGCTTATTCTGTAAAAGGTATGCTGGCAAATCATCCCTGGGTTGTATTTTTGCACCCTTTTTTTTGCAATTCTTCAATAACATTTCAAATTCTAAATCTGTGGTAAGAAAGCTGCACATGTTCAGTAGCATTTGAAGGACCACAAACCTGAAACAATATTTAATACACTATCTAGTAATAAATTACAGCAATAGCCAATATAGTCTTCAAATAAGATTAGTCTGGGTGACACTACTAACCACCGACACTACTAACCACCGACAAAGCAAGTTAATTATTCAGTCTGCTTGGATATTTGTCTACAACTTCTAGACCCCTACCAATAGCTGATTTCTAGATACTGAGTTTTAACAAGGCTAATTATGAAAGATGCCACTTAGGACTTTTATATGAAATTGAATATCTGGTTCAGGTACAGAAAATGATGCTATTTTGGAACTATGCTGTTGGAGAATAGACTGTGACCATATTTGTTTCTTCTCACCTGATGCATAAAGGCCAAACCAGATGACTGAATTAAATGCATTTTTAAAAGGTCTACTAGAGCAGGTGTTGACCACATGGTGTACATTCATCACATCTTTGGGCATTTATAGATTCTCAAACCCACGCCATTGATTGAGAGAATGAACTCATAATATACTCTCAAAACTCCTAACATGCTCCTGGTAGCATAGACTGCCTGCTCCTATATTAGATAAGCAAGCCAGACAGGATACTCTGCTTCTTTATATGGTGGTACATACACTACAAAGAAACCTATATGATTAATCTATTTCCCTGTTTACTTTACCACTATTCTACACAATCCCATTTGTGAGGATCTAGAACACGGGTGTCAAAACTTGCCACGTCATGTAAACTGTCATGACTTTTTTTGCATTGCCAGAGCTGAGGTGGACGTGGCCTCCATATGATGCAACCAGCTACGGGCTGGTAGTTTGACACCCCTGATCTAGATCTCACCAATAGAAAGTTTGATGGAACTCTTTTCTCAGCGGCAAAGGCTGAGAAGCAAATGGAGAAACAGAATGCAGCTGAGAGGCAGGTTAGTAAAAAAACACTTGGAGGCAAGGGCAGGTGTGGCAACCTTACCCTACGCAGGTATTATGCAGGTTGCTCATGGATGGGACTGAAGGCCTAGGACTGGAGCGACGGTGCGCGTGCCTACAGAGGGCTCTGCGTGCCGCCTGTGGCACGCGTGCCATAAGTTTGCCATCACGGGCCTAAAAGGTTAATAGTCAGCTCAGCAACTTCAGCCAATCTCAGAATTTAAGAAGGGTCTATCATGATGAATACTTTGATGGGAGACTACCTGGGAATTCTCGGACTGTATATTAAAGTGGGGGATTTCTTTTTCTGAGAAAACAATAAAAAATAGACTTGGTAATGCCTGCCAAGAAAAGTACACTTTTCCTGCAGTTACCAGGAATATAAGACATTGTTTTTAAAGATATATTAAAGTTCAGTTAATATCAGGCAGGATACCAAATGAGTCGTTCATTCTGACAGGGACTGCAATTTCCATGCAAGAATAGTTCAAAACTCAGAAAGTTCTCTGTGTGCAAATTAGTACATGCACCCACTAGTTGGACTGACATGAGTCATATTTCCCATTACCTGCTATCCTCCTATGTAGTATGGTATCAGTGAAGGCTCTTTTGAAGGCTGTACACTACTACAGAACTACTACCACACTACTAGCTTCCACTAATGGGGCTGGCATAAGAGAACAGCTTAAAACAACTGAAGATTTTTGCAATACTTGGATGTAAAGGCAAAAATGCACAGCATTCAAAAAAAGACAAAGCCGCTTTAAAGAGCTGCAGAAAGGGGCTCCGTGAGTAAACACACTGCTCTAAAGCATCTTTTTGCCTCCAAATCTGAAACACAGTATGTTAAATTATATCATGTGATGGAACACTAGTATTTTAGCATTGCCTATTATGGCCATGAGAGCCAGTTTGGTGTAGTGGTTAGGCTAAAAAGCAGGAGCTCATCAGTTTTAGTCCTGTTTAGGCATAAAATCAGCTGAGTGATCTTGGGCCGGTCACTTTCTCTCAGCCCTAGGAAGGAGGCAATAGCAAACATTACTGAAAAACCTTACCAAGAAAACTGCAGGGGCTCGTCCAGTCTCCAAGAATTGTACACAATTAAATGGAAAGAAAAAAATAATACTCATATATGGATTTAACAGATTTTAGTTCAATATTTGAACTTAGGCATATTGAAACTTAAACAATTATTTCTGAAAGGCCACACTCCTCCTACTTGGGGCTAACAAAGGAATTCTCTACTTATATGTATCTTGGTTATTGCTTCCAAGAAAATCATATAACTAACATGGATTATTTTGACCGTACTTTCATTTTTAGATATCTCATTCCTGCAAATAATCTTAAATGTTGCTACTTTTAGTTGCATTAAAATGGAAAAAAATGTGTCAACTTAAGCCAGAACTGTAGCATAGCTAGTGCAGCAAATGTTTAAATAACCATGCTGCTTATGAAATACATTAACGATACTCATGCCCATTTTTTAAAAAAAAAAAATCACTTTTTTTTTTAAAATGGCCATGGGCAGTGTTACAAACCCTTAAGATAACTTGATTGTTTTTTTTGCTAACAACCCTGAAAACAGAGTCTGATAGTTTTAAACCACACTGATATATTTGACATGGATAATTAGATGTATTTTTCCGTTCTTTTATTAAGATATGATGATTATTTTAAAAGACAACCTCCAAATACTTGAATCTACCTCAAATCTTAGAATACCAAGGTTTTTTTCAATAAAATGGGAGTAAATGTTCTTTTAAACTAAAAACACATTGCTCCCTTCTAATAGAAAAGTTCTTCTCCTCATGATTACATCTATCACTTTTATTCCAAGCACTCATTTTATGATGTTTCAACACTTTTGCTCTACAGTGACACTCATACTAGAATTTCACCAGGACCTCAGTCTCCATGGCACAGTAATTCTAACATTGTGGATACAAAGTTACTGAAGAAACAGAGGGATCAATATGAAAGAGACACGGGAGAGATCTTGTGGTATTCTAGGGAGGAGCAGCAGATTCAGCATCTGTGCCAGAAAGATGCATAAAAAGCTCTCCAATCTCTGATACATCATCATTGGCGACGGGCGGCGTTCTGTTTTCTCGGTCTTCGATAAAATCCCACAGACGAACAGTGTTGAGGAACTAAAACAGAAAGCATGAGTTACACATATCTCTTACTAACATATTTGAGGCATTGTTTGGATTTACAGCTACAATATATATATATATATATATATATATATATATATATATTATATATATATATATATATATATATATATATATATATATATATATATATATATATATATATGTTTTCTGAGGTTTTCGCGGGTATTTGTATATAGGTCTTTGGTTGTTCGGGTTTTCTCCCGCGTAAAATTGGAAGTGTCTTGGCAACGTTTCGACGAAGTCACATTCGTCATCTTCAGGCTGGTGTTTTTAGCTTCTTGCTTTGAGCAGCAATGTGTGGTTTTAGCTGTTTCTTCCTTTTAACTGCCAGTGAGGGTATGAACTGATTGGATGGGAGCTTGGCTGTGTTCTGATTGGGTGGAGGTGTGTTCTGAATGGTTAGGGGCTTGGCTGTGCTCTGATTGGCTGGGGGAGTGTTCTGTTTGGTTGTGCTCAGGTTAGTCTGAGTTGCAGAGGGGTTTAAGATTTTGGGGTTAGGGAGTCGTTTGTCAATAAGGGCAGGTTTCCAAATGGCTGGTAGGCGGGAGGTATCATCTCGCTTGTTCATGCTGTGTGGGCGTTTTTCTATCTCGATGGCTTCTCTGATTATATTCTGTTATTAAAAAAAACGCTTAGCTGACGAACAACACCTAAAACCCGAACTACACACTCTCACCAATGTACTAACATCCAATGGATTCCATAGAAATAAGATTACAAACCTAATCCAAAAAGAAACCCCCACCAAAATCCAAGACAAAGAACAAGAAAACGGCAAAGCCCTCCTCCCATACATAAAAGGCACCACAGACAGAATCAGTAAGATCCTTCATAAACACAACATCAAAACAGCATTCTGCACAAACAGAAAAATATCCACCATCCTTAGAAACCCCAAAGATAAAATTGAATTAGAAAATCAAGGAGTATACGAAATCCCATGCACCACTTGTCCCACCACATACATCGGACAAACCAACAGAAGAATAAGTGCACGCATTGAAGAACATAAGAACTCAGTCAAAAAAGAGGAACCAACATCTTCCCTGGTCCAACACCTTAAAGCCACAGGACATGAAATTGACTTTAAAAATACCAGAACCATTGCCAAAAGTGAACATTTTAATAACAGAATAATCAGAGAAGCCATCGAGATAGAAAAACGCCACACAGCATGAACAAGCGAGATGATACCTCCCGCCTACCAGCCATTTGGAAACCTGCCCTTATTGACAAACGACTCCCTAACCCCAAAATCTTAAACCCCTCTGCAACTCAGATAACCTGAGCACAACCAAACAGAACACTCCCCCAGCCAATCAGAGCACAGCCAAGCCCCTAACCATTCAGAACACACCTCCACCCAATCAGAACACAGCCAAGCTCCCATCCAATCAGTTCATACCCTCACTGGCAGTTAAAAGGAAGAAACAGCTAAAACCACACATTGCTGCTCAAAGCAAGAAGCTAAAAACACCAGCCTGAAGATGACGAATGTGACTTCGTCGAAACGTTGCCAAGACACTTCCAATTTTACGCGGGAGAAAACCCGAACAACCAAAGACATATATATATATATATATATATATATACACACACACACACACATACATACACATACACACACACACACACACACCCAGGGCAGCATCCCAACACCTCACTGCGTATTGGTGCAAGCACAAGGAGGCTGAGGAAGGAGGGTGCAGTGTAGTGTGCAGAAAGGCTGGGGGGGGGGGGCTGGCACCAGAATGACTTGCAACCTTCTCTGGCAGCTTCCCCGCTGACTTTGCTTGTGAGAAACCAGCAGGGAAGCTTGCCAAGAGTGATCACACCACCTTGGGATGTCACAATTGTTAAGTGCAAGCTGGTTGCCAAGCAGCCAAATTGCAATCTTATGACTGGGAACTGCTGTGACAGCTGGGACTTTGAAGACTGGTAGTAAGTACTATTTCACTTCAGCACTGTCACAACTCTGAATGATCACTGAACAAGTGGTCAGTAAGCGAGGACTACTGTAAATAATTTCCAAAGCTGTTGGAACTACAATTGCTAGACAAATAGTTCCATGTATTCTTAAATGCACGTTTTAAAATTATTGAGGTTCCCATTCTAAAAGGGAAACAACAAACACGTGGATTGTCAAAGTTGGAACTAGGACTATTATTTGGGGATCACAGATAGTGTTCCTCCTACCCCAACTATTCAGTTCTTTTCAATATAGCATGTGCTGCCTCAAAATGTTTAAATGTAGAAGGAAGATTATTAGCGACCTCGGCAGTTTTGGGAAGCTAAGACAGGAGACAGAGTTGTGTATCTTCTTACCCGGACTGTCCCCTCTGAGCTGAGTTGCTTTCGTGGCTTCTCTGGCTCAGCTCGTCTTCCGTCTGGATAAGCATGGAGATACAGACATTTCCCCCCAAATGGGCAAGTCCCCTTTCCCTGCTCAAAATACTTGCAGGCTTTTCTCCTAGAATAAGAGGGTGAAGAATGTGTATCAGTATGTGCAGACTGAACTGATTATTAAAAACTCAAGGAGTTTAGTGAAGCCAATTTGCACATAGAACATTAATCCTGAAAGCAAGTGTGATGCATATTTTGGGGACAATTTCTGAAATGTGAATTGTGACGACAAAAGTATAAAGGAAAGCAACTTGGTAAATACAGACCTTTGGCTGTATTTATATGCTGGAATAAACACCAACACCTTTCCTTTTCTCTCTCAGTTAATATTGGCGATAACCCTTGCTGAACAATCTGTAAGTGTACAGGGTATTACAAAACCATTTCTCTGACTGCCACTGTCAAAATGTAACGTACCTGATCTTTGTACCTGCTTGTTTTTTCTGTAGTCATTTTATTCTATTTTAGCCCATTTCTCCAATTTATAAAGATACTTTTGAATGTTATTGAGTGGTATTAATTATCCTACCAAATTTTATGCAATCGGAAGTATGACAGACATTCTCTCCTCTTCGTCAACCACTACGACTCCCAAGATCCCTCTCAGTTACTACTATTGAGCAAGGTACCCCCTATACTGTACCTGTGCATTTTGTTTTTCTTACCTAAATGCAGAACCTTACTTTTTTCACCATTGAATTTCATTTTGTTAGATAGCGCCCCGTGTTCAAGTCTGTCCAGATCCTTCTGTATCCTAAGCCTGTCTTCTGGAGTGTTGGCTATTCCTGCCAGCTTGGTGTCGTCTGCAAATTTGATGAGTTCCCCATCTATCCCCTCATCCAAACCGTTGATGAAGATGTTGAAGAGCACTGGGCCCAGAACAGAGCCCTGGGGCACCACACTACACACTTCCCTCCATGTAGATGCGGTTCCATTGAGGACCACACATTGAGGACGGCAGGTCAGCCAGCTACGGACCTATTCGGTGGTGATGCTGTCTAACCCGCATTTTTCTATCTTATCGAGTAGTAAGTTGTGATCTACTTTACCAAATGCCTTACTGAAGTCCAATTAAATTATATCACAGCATTCCTCTGATCCACTAATTTTGTCACTTGGTCAAAGAATGCAATAAGGTTTGTCTGGCATGATCTTATTTTTGACAAACCCGTGTTGGCTTTTGGTAATAACTTTGTTTGCTTCTAGGTGATTGCTGATTCATTGTTTGATTATCTTTTCCAGAATCTTCCCAGGTATTGAGGTCAGGCTGACAGGTCTGTAGTTTCCTGGATCCATTTTTTTCCCCTTTTTTGAAGATGGAAACTACATCAGCTCTTTTCCAGTTCTCTGGTAGTTCCCCAGTGCTCCAGGATCTTTGAAAGATATAGTTCAGTCGTTATGAGATCACATCTCCCAGTTTCTTCAGAACCTTGAGGTGTAATCCATCTGGTCCTAGTGATTTGAACTTGTCTAGGGTGGACAGGTGCTCACCATTTTCTTGCCTATCTTAACTTTGTTAAATTTATCATTTGGTAAAGAAAATAACAGAAGTGAAAGAAACTATATTCCCACTTAGGGTAGACTTATAACCAAATCATTGAATCTTTTCCAGTTACATCATTGCAAAATATAAATTCACAGGGTCTTTTTACCTGGCTGCACAAAGGGATTTATTCCACAAGTTACCTGGAAACCATCATGGGCAAACAATCTAACAATCAGTTTTAATATAGTCATTCTTTAATTTCTATGGAAATCTATATATTATAGACTTCAAACAAGACCATAATCTAAATTATGTAATATAAATCTAATCTGTGCGTTCTAATCAACGGTTGTAGATTTCAGCTCTAGAGTTATTAACAGCATAGCTCCTGATGTGACTGATAAGCAAAACACTCCATAAATAGAGAGCAACATAAATTAAACAATGAAAGTTCAACTTTTTAAAGAGTCACACACAAAACGTTTTAGAGGCTAGCAGTGAAGGTCACAGAACTACAAATGCATCCTTTTGTTAAACATAACATACTTTTAACTAAATACTAGATTAATTATTACTTTATGGTATATACTGATCACTGTTTTTTCAAATAAAACCAAGCAGTTTGGTGAAATTTTGACTTACAATTGCCTTGACCTACAACAAAACACACTGATCAAAATACCATGTTTTTTAAGCTTGTTCACATTTTCATTCTGAATTGCTATTTGTAGAACATATTTGATGACTTCAATAAATCAATGAAAGATGTTCTACCAAAAGAATATGATTTGAAAACACAGTCCTACTAACGTATATGCAAAAGATTTGGGCTTAGGAAAGAAAAAAATATGGAGATGCTTTTAATGACCACTGTCTGGCAGATTTGAAAAGTAAAACAAGGAACTAGCGAGTTTGTAGTAGTATGTGGCTAATTTTTAGTTGCATGCTGGAGATGTGCACTAAATGATCTTGTCCTAATTCAACATTTTCACAAAGACTTTGAGTCTGATAAATTGAAGGATAAACTAGTAAGACGGAGCATACCAAAGAATTTAAAACCATTGTGCTGTATGCTAATTGATGGATGAGCTGATGCACAGAAAGAATAAAAGAGATTTTATGGCATTTTGTATTTCTACTCCTATTGCCTCCTTGAATTCCAGCACAGTAAAACCATGTAAATAGGAGTGGTGAAGTAATCTTTATCTGTAGTAAAGAAATAAAGAAGGACAGATCTTGGTTTATGTTTTTGCTGTGGAGCTCTAGGACATCTAGCCATGGCTTGTCTTGCCAAACTTTCTTCCTCCAAGTTGGTTGGAACGCAATACCAGTGGAACTGTGAGTCACCTCCCAAATCACTCCATAGCCTCTTCTTTAGGAAAGTCCGGTGTCTTCTCCCAAAAGTTTAGCAAGCAGGCCCCAGGCAATTAAAAATGGCTCAGATAAGGAACAATAGGCAAATGCATGTTATTATCCCTGTTATTCTTCACATCCCATCAACACAGAAATACAATAAAGGACAATATTTGTATTTCGGAGCTGAAATGGGGGTGGGGGTGTCCCTTGGTGCTCTCTGAGCTGTTTTCTTGCAGATGTTTCATTACCAAATTAGGTAACATCATCAGTGCTGGTAAGGAATGAAGTTTGCTCTCAGTTTATATTCTAATGGCCTGTGCTGGCCTCTCGGTGTTGGTGGGAGTGGTACTGGGGATTCTTTGATTCGGATAATATTTGTAGCTCAGGGTTGAAATGAGGATTGGGTATACCAATCAAAGAAATGCCAAGTAAGCTAACAGTAAACAAAGAACAGTAAATCAAAGAACCTCCAAGACCATTCCCACCAACACTTGGCAGGGCAGGCTGCTCTGCTAGAATATAAACTGAGAGCAAACCCCACTCCTTACAAGGACTGATGATCTTACCTAGTTTGGGTAATGAAATGTCTGAAGAAAACTACCAAGCTCAGAAACACAACCCTCTGCTCTTTTAGACTCTGGTGCAGTGGCTGATTTCATAGAAAAAAAAAAAGAGCATGTAGCATGGATTATCCACGGAGTGATTTAGAGATGTACATGCTTATTGAAATGATTGACTCTTGGTGGTCAATAAGTTGGTCCTATTTTGCAACATACAACTCTGCTTCGGTTGAAAATAAATGGTTGTACAGAATTCTGACTCCTCTTTACAGGAAGTCCCTGTTTACCATACACTCATTAAGCAACAGTTTCAAAAATGTCCTACAAGTGGCCTTAAATGCTTGAACATATATACTTACCCAACCCCCTGCTTAAATGCTTCGATTAGTTCGTTCTTTTTTGTCTGATCTTCCACCCAGTACACACTGGGAATGACAAACTCTGATATCACACGGCATTCTGGACAGGACCTTGAGCAGCAAAAAGAAAAGCTGGTATATTGCTTGTTGAAAAAGCTATTTTAACGAACTCAAAAATAGAACAAAAAGCAACCCCTCCCAAAGATTCTTTGAATAAATTACCCTTGCACTTGTCATGATTTTTAAGACATCTACAATGTAATTGTATTAAACCTAAGCATTCTCTTTATTAAGAAAAGTCCCTCCTATTTGTGTTTTCTGATCTAGGTTTTCATTCCTATGGCTTAACTTTTTATAATAAAAGTAAGCTTTACAGTATTTGAAGAACACCTACTTCATTTCTTGGAAAGTTCTATATTTACCCTTTTGTTGGTGTCCTTAGATTTTTTTTTTTTTTAAGTGGCAGGACTAGAACTTAAGAAATAAGTAGCACCATCCAACTCAAAATCTGCTGGAGAACTCCATCAGTTCCATATAAATATTGAACTAAAATGAAGACAGACTAGAACTTGGAGGGACATCATAATTACCCCAACTAAAATTTGTCTGAAAAAATGAATAGAATTATGGCAAACAGCAGAAATATATTATGCTTAATAGCATTAATAATGATGCAGAAATCAGGCATTAGTCTGTAACCTGATGTACAAAGGAAGACAATCCATTGGAAATCACAGTCCCAAAGTCCCTAAAGCCAGTTTGAAATTAATCAAGATAATCTGCAACTAAGAAATCCACCTTGTTATTTTTTTGTTCAACTTAAGTGTCTTTTGGTGAATATAGAACTGTAAGTTAAACTATTTCCCCTTGTCAAATGTCAGCTATTCTAACATTTATTTAAGCTGCAAGGACTGAGCTGTTTGAAAGGAAACAAGTTAACAAACTAAGTTTTGGAAGAGCAGGCAGGCTGTGGGCACTTACTTGATGATGGGATTCTCAAACTGCTTGACTCCCCTCCACTGACGGATACAGGACAAACAGTAGGTGTGGTTGCAGTTAGAAAGGATGCCAAATCTTCTTTCCGAGGCGGATGGCTTGTCATAAACCACTTCCATGCAAATACTGCACACCTTGTCCTGGCTTGCCTGGAAGGCAAAAGCTTTCTCCATGTCATGTTCAAAGCTAGCCATGCACATCTAGATTGGGAAAGAGAAGGCAAAGACAAAGGAAAGGAGTGTTTGCTCTAGACTGGTCAAATAGAATGCTCACAGTAAAAACACAAGTTCATTAAAATCAATTGGCTTACTCTGCAATAAATAGAGTAGATGCAGGACTATAACTGAGAAAGGGCCGTCTCTGCATACTACTGAAGGCTTTATGTGCTAGCATCTCAATTTTATTAATAAGAACCGTCACTAATAAAATTGGATTACATAATAACAAATAACCTTATTAAAAACTACCAGTCACTTTGTTCTTACTGAAAAATGGGACATGATCCACCACCATAAGTAACACTGGCATTTGAAGTGCCAGACAGAAAAAAAAAAAGATGACAATTTGGATTTTAAAAGGAACTGAATAGAATTATACCTTTTATTTATTTATTTATTTATTTATGAGACTTATATACCGCTTTAAGTGCAAGCACTCTCTAAGCGGTGTACACCAGTAAGCAATGTATATATATATTTACACTGCCCCCAACAATCTGGGTCCTCATTTTACCTACCCCAGAAGGATGGAAGGCTGAGTCAACCTTGAGCCGGTGAGATTTGAACCGCTGACCTGCTGAACACAGTCAGCTAAAGTGGCCTGCAGTATAAATTATCAACCTAAATCAGTGGTTCTTTTTATAGCCGTGACCCCAGTCGTAAGTTGAGGACTACCGGCCCGGGAGCGCAGCGTATGCATGGTGCCGCCCCCTGCGCCGGCTGAGCCATAGCCAGCAAGGAGCGGCGGCAGGCAGGCCCGGGCGCTCCTGGGCGGCCGTGGCAGGCAGAGCGACCATCAGCTGGGCCACCAGCTGGCCCAGCCCAAGGCAGGTAAGGCACCTGCCGGGCCCCACGCATGCCAGCAATCCTCCCTGCGCCTGCCGCTGCCCTGCTAGGCTTACCTTGGCCGCCGCCCGTTTGGGGCAGCGGCAGGCAGGCCCAGGCGCTCCCGGGTGGCTGCGGCGGCACAGGGCGACCACCGGCTGGGCCACCAGCTGGCCCAGCCCAAGGCAGGTAAGGCACCTGCCGGGCCCCACGCGCGCCAGCGACCCTCCCTGTGCCCACCGGCCCCCCACCTCCCACCCCTCTTTTACTTACTTTTTAGTTGCTCAGCAGGGAGGGAAGCTCTACAGACTGTTCCCCTTGCAGCACTGTTTGCAGACTGGGGCTTTTGGCGGGCTCAGCAGGGCAGAGACAGCCCTGGACAATTCCTATTGGCTTTTGAAAGCCAATAGAATTAGACTCTGTTCAAGAGAGTCTATTCTATTGGCTTTCAAAAGCAAATAGAATAAGAGGGAGTAGCAGAGCTAAGGAAAAGGGGGAAAATGGCGGAAAAAATGGCGGATCGCGTTGTTTGGCGACCCCCGTGAAATGGTCGTTCGACCCCAAATGAGGTCGCGACCCACAGGTTGAGAACCGCTGACCTAAATAAATGAGCACATATTTCTTACACAATAAGCCATAAATCACAGCATGATATATGAACCAGGTCGATGTGTATAGGGAAGCTCCACAACATGCAGCCAATACAACAGATTATCAAAGTTTGCCACAATAGGTCATAAGCTGAACAGGAATGAATCATTTTTAACATTTGTAGGTGTTAACTTTAATGTAATATGTAATATGATTATGCCCTTGTGGGCCAGTTGAGTTTCCTAAGCATGCTTTGCTTCAGTGATAACTTTTAAAAGATATTTGAAGTGCTCTTGTTTCCCCAGTACTGATTTCAGACCAAGCCTATAACCTGTGCTAATACCTAACCCCTCCCATAACATACACAATCATCATGTTCTGTGCAACAGTACATAAAATCCATCAGGAATTGGCCACTAACATAACAAGAGCTAGTAAATCAGATGAGGACCAGTTCCTCATTTTTACATGCACATATAATTGTTCAATCTTTGTCATTCTTATATTTTACATCCTGTATTATTAGTTAACCTGATATTTTTGCCAGTTGAATAATGATTTGATTTGAAAATAACAGCCAGATTAGTTTTATTTCTGGTTATGTTTACCTTCTCGTGTGCCTTCCTCTGTTCTGGATCAAAGGGATGGAGTACTTGCAACCCACAGATTTCACATACTTGCCCATGGAGGTAGAGGCACCGGTCCCCAAACTGGCACATGCCAGCTGCTGCATAGGGGCATAACTGTTCATCATATGTATATGAGCTGCCAGGTTCAGCATAATCTTCAAGCCCGCTGCGGATAGCATCTAAATACGAATGGGGCTTTGTTTCTGGTGTGTCAACTGGAATACTGCAACATGCCAAGTCACTTACTGCCCCGGGCCTTGTCCTTTCTTCATTGGTTCCACACAAGTCTTAGAAGGAGAAGGAGAAGGAGAAGGAGAAGGAGGAGAAGAAGAAGGAGAAGGAGGAGGAGGAGGAGGAGAAGAAGAAGAATATTTGATTGCATTAAAAACAGGCCATTCTCATTAAATCCCTATTCCAAAGCAGAGGGAATTAGCAAGTATTTCTAAGCTTGACTTTTAATAACAGCTGATGTGCTTCCATCAAACCTGGTAAATCTGCTTTCAACTTCAAAGCATAGTAATTACTATAATCTCCAGCGACACACTATAAAACCACAAAATTATGGCTATTAGTTGCCTAAAAAAACCATGCAGCAGCAACATAATCTCTCAGTTTACAACACTACATGAAAATCATTGCAGATTAACGAAATACCAGTAATGACAACCAGAGGGGTGCACATAAAAAAACTTGTTTCAAGGACTTTAGAGGTGAGGCTTGAGCATATTTTGGCTGCAACATGAGTCTACAAGCACAACATTTACTATTCTCCCTCTATAAGTAGCAGCCATCCAATCAGGGAAAAGAACATCAAGGAATGCAATATAATACCACTACTGGAGTGGGAACTGGGGCTAAATCTACTTTCTGACTTCACCCATTATGAATCAAGTCTGCCCTTAACTACACAATTTAATGCAGGATCTATTTCTTGGTCGGTCTAGCAACTGAGAGAATACGGGACCCGATGATATTTCTTTATATTTATCCCATAAAATCTTCTGGATATTAAACATAAATTTTAAAAATGATTGCAATACAAACCACAAAAAGCAAGTCTTAAAATTTTCAAAAGCAAAAGTCAGGGTCTATGACACCATAGGAGGTTATTTTTTTTTTAAAAAAATTCCATCTGGCGCCAGGCAAGCTTCTAAGACAAGGCCACTCTATATTCATGATACCAACACCGAAAAGGTCTTCCTTGTCAGATCTCATCTGCCAGAAATAGTAAGAAAATGGCTTCGCCTCAAGATTTAGGTAGGTATGAATGGTATGAGACATGTCGGGTTACTATTTGAAGCTTTCTTACATAAAGGTTTCTTTACCAATATGATGAAAGATGCCTCCAATGGACAGAATACTGAGAATTGCCATACATATCCAAAGATCTGGTTCTACAGGGAGCTAGCAAAAGATGGCAATCAAATATTAAGATGTGCCTTGTATTTTCAGATGTCTAGTAAACCAAATACTTTGGATGTATCCACCCTTGGCTTGAATAACTGAACTGAACTTGCCATTATTGGCAAATGAAATACAAGGGAATGGATATTGGTAAACAACAAAGGAAAATTATCGATTATCATATACAACTCGTTAATTTTCATAGTACAATAGGGTTTTTTAATAGAAAAAATAGGACCACAAAGAACTAGTCAAATCCAGATAGATGGCTGACCATGGTTGACTTCAAAAAGCTAAGCAGGTTTACGTTCATGAGAGGATGAATACCGTACCAGGATTGCAGATTAGACATAAAAAAAACCTCAGAAGGCAATAATAAGCAACTTCTCTATTGTTACTAACAAAACTATATGGACATGTCTGTAATGTAACCAGGATTAGAACCGGATTGAAAAACTTTACACTTTAATGAACTAAAGCAAATCCATTAAAAAAAAAAGAGACCCATTCTTGCTCACCTCTGTCCCTGAGCACTAAGGTTTTCTTTTCACGTTTTCCAGATTCATGTACTTTACTTTTGGTAACAGTTGGGTTTTGCTCTGATGGAGAGTTGAGTCTTTGGAATGGTGGTGCAGAAATATAAAGTGGTCTAGAACCCACTGTGCCCCCAGATGCAGAGGACCCCAGAGGTTTGACGTGATCATATCTTAACAAATTAGAAACAACAATAAGATATAAATAGTACAGGGATTTATTTCATCAAGCTTGCTGAACACAAAGATAAGACTGTGCTATTGTGGAATTTTTAATGGTTTCAAAGACAGCAATACTTGCAATATGGATTTGTTTCACAGAACTGATCAACTCAATGCAGAAACCTAAATTATTCTAATCCTAGGAGAAAGATGCCGAAAATAAAAGTAGTAACAATTAACAGGCTTTTAGTTATTTAAATGCCTGTTATTAATTTTATAATATAATAAAACTACATGTAATATAAAAATCTTATCCTATGAAATTCAAAGTTCAATACAACTTAACTGTAAAGAATATAATGATATATAACTAGAACTCCAAATGATTAAAAAAGAAACTTCATTCGTGGTAATATTTAGTAGTCCGATATAGACATTCATTAAATTCAATACGGATTATTGTCATATTTTCTAGTTTAACAATGCTAATTCAATCTGATGAATTTAATAAAATAAATATTCAAGCATGTGCAGGATTATGACTTTAAGATGTGGATATATAGAAAGTAAATCAGAATCTATTAGTGGATCTCTGGGTATTTTATAATAGATCAGGATTTCTGACCTCAGTAGTTTAACATATAATTTATATCTGAACTAGATTTTGGAGTTCAAGTAAAAAAAAGAAAGAAAAATTACAAAGTCAAGAAAGTCTTTCCTCCTTTTAATAGTTGGGGTCTGAACATTGCATTATTAGTGTACTTTGAGATTGCTATGTCTTGTTACTTATTTGGGAGCAAGACCTGCTGAATTTCATTTATTTTTGAGTAGATATGCATATGATCGGGTTTTAGAAAGTCATCTCGATAAAAATAAAACCTATTTATGGACCACATCTCTGTGCAGTTTCTTTTAAAACAGTTAAAAAATTCTAAAATTCCTCTTCTAAAAGAGGCTTTTCCAAATTCCTTCAACTCCCAATCATCTCAGCAAACATTGCTAATAAGAAATTATGAGAATTGCACTGGCATTAAGTACAAGAAGTACACAAACAATAAGCAGCTTCTTAAATGTCTTTAACATGATAAATTAACTGTAGGTTTTCTCTTGGAAACCAATAACTCATACTTGCAGCGAGTTCCATAAGCACACTGTCCTTTTTGATAGAATTTGCAGATATTAGATCGTTTGCTTGTAGACAAGTCATGGGAAAACAGACACCTATTTCCTTCACGACATACTCCTTGTATAAAATACCTGCAATAATATATATGCAAAGTCATATACAGCAACAGATGTCAAATATATAATTCTTTCAGTATTCGTCAAGTCCACAAATAAATCTACCAAGATTTTCTCCAGAAAGTTCAGAAAAGCAGAATGTGGAATATTTGTATATTGTATATTGAAATACACAAATATCCTAAAATAAGAGATAGGTTCTAAACTCATGGCTCAAATAAGGTTACACCGTTTTCTCTAGGAATGTTGTTTTATTGGCACTTTTAAAAGAACTTAAAAAATCTATTTTAAGATTCTGAATACATGTAGTTTACATCCTAAAAAGCTTTCCCTGATTATCAATAAGGAGAGACTTTGGGACAAATCAGCAGCCCACAGGATTAACGTCCTACTTCCATCCCTGTGTCAAACTTCAATCTCTTATGATATGGAACTAAGAGAACCACCCGAGCTTGACTTGTAGCCATGTTTTTGGACCAATTGCACAAAGGCCCTGGCCTTAAGACACACTGTCCTTTAGGAATTATTTAGGGAAAATCAGATTTAGATTTTTAAGGGGGAACCAGTAACCCGCAATAACCCTCCCTGTTCTGGAAAAAGCTCTCCTATGTGTAACAGGCATTTTCAAGGACTACAACACACACACACACACACACACACACACACACGGAAATGGAAGAGGGCCACTGGAGGGCCGCGAGTTAGTGGAACAAGGACAGGAAACCATCGTCTCTCCGGCTTTGCCCTTCCTCTCGCGGCTTAGTTGGCGAAGAGACCGACGAAAAGAGCGGGAAAGGAGGCGGGAGGCATCTCGGTCTCGTCCTCCCTCTCCCCCCCCCCGCTTCCCCTTGGGCGGAGCGTCTCCAAGCGCCCGTCCGTTTTTCGGGGTGGGGAGGAAGGCAGAGAGCGCTCATCTCAAGCGGTAACCGCTCCCTCTGACCTGCAGGTTATGTCCTTCGTGCTGCTCATGTCTCCTTTGGCACCGCTCCTGCTTCGGTGTCTCCTCCCTGCGCGGCTCCTCGCATTTTGGTTCCGCTGTAGCGCCGGGGAGGGGAGAGGAAGGGAAAGCTGTTTGGGAACCCAACAAAGAGAGCCGGTCCTTTGCTACAGGAACTGGTTTCCGGCCGGAAATTATGAATGAAACACTCCACCATAGAGCAGGAGAGAGAGGCTTTCCTTTGCACCGCAGTGGGTGGGCGGTATAAAATCTTTTAGCAGGAGGGCCGCTTATGATACATTAAATATTGGAAGGAAGGAAATCGACTAGACACATTATTGGAAAGCTGCGTTTTAATAAAACTGTCAGTCGGGAAAAGGACAGCCGGCCTTCTGCCATAGACTAACGCGGCTCCCCGAGTATACAGTACATTCAAGAGCAGGGCATAGAGATCCGGAAGGCGGGAGAGCGGCCGCCTGGCGGAAGCACGATTGCCGGACAGAGTGCCCCTCTCTCAGTTTAAAGTTATAGGTTTCGGGACTCGCTACTTCTGGGATATCTGCATGGTTCCTTTTGCCTAGCTGGCAGGGAATACGGGGGAAAATGCACAACCAGCAACAGGAGAGGGTCTGGTTTTTGTTCCAAAGGTGCTTTTTCACGAGGCAACTGGACTTTCTTGTTTTTGTTTGAAGACGTTTCGCTTCTCATTCAAGAAACTTCTTCAACTGAAGAAGCTTCTTGGGTGAAAAGCGAAACGTCTTTTAAAAAAAAAAACCCAAAGTCCAGTTGCCCCGTGAAGAACATCTTTGGGATAACCATGACCTGGATGACTGAGAATCTCCATAGAGGTCTGGTTTTTGTTCTCTCATTTTTGAGGCGCAAAAGACATGCAGTCTGCTAGGCCAATATAGATATATTTAGTTGCAATAAAATGTTTAACTTGCAGCAAAAAATAAACAGATGGTGTAAAACTGGAACATCAACGGATTTATCTTGACATATCTTGAAGGCTTGAGCTATATAGATGCATCAGAACTCAACTTATAAAATGCATTTTAAATGAGCGAGTCCATCTTGTATGTGTACACACACAGACACAGAAAATATGAATATCTTAAAACTTCAGTCCATGTGGAATAATTCTTGAGAATGATTCTGGCGCTGATATAATAATTATCACATTTTAAATCAGTTTATAGTCCATATAATCCAAACTCTTCATGTTGGATTCTCCTTTTGAAGTTATCTTGTAAAATGTATAGATTAAAAGGCAGAGTATAGAGATCAGGAAAATGTTACAGCAGTCTCATGATTGTAAAGGTAAGAACAGATGATAGTTCATATTGCTTTGGAAGATAAATGAAGTTGATCATGTAAGGACAGCAACTAGGACCGTATATCAAGCAATAATTGGAAAATCAGCATTTCTAGATTGGATGCAAATATTTTTGATCTTATGTCATTTGTAAGCATTTATAATAAATATGTGTATTATTTTGTGGAGACGTATAACCTTTGCAGTATGCAGATAGCTTATTAGTGATGTCATAACTAGAACCAAGGACAGAACTTTTTGGAAATTTTGTGGTATTGGTTCCTTGTACTCTCTGATATCTGGCAGCTTATGAGAAGTACCATATGCAGCTGCTTCAGATCTGGAAATCTTAATTTTTATCTGTTCATGTTTATGTTCTTATTGGACAACATTGTGAGTTGTCTGCAATACTTTTTTTTTGCATTCATTCATATACCAGAATAAATCTGAATTATTCAAATTAATAGAATACTAATAAAAAGAGATAGAGTCCCCTGGCTTTAATAACTGTATGATAAGCCAGCATTAAATTTAGGATGCTGATCTTTTCCTGCCAAGGACAAAACTAATCTTTCCCAATCTGGTTTCTTCTGATAATTTGGTACTGCTGTTCCTGGAAAATCTCAGCCAGTATAGCCAACAAGAAGAGTAGGGTTGTACTTAGAAAGTTTCAGTTTATGACCAAATAAACTAGAAAATTTTACATTTTTGCCTGTGGTACAAAAGTCAGAAGATTTGTATCAAGAGATGGTAGCAAATCTAAATTTGTTTATTCCTCATTTTAATCAAGGAGAGAAATTCACAAAGATGTATCTGCTTACAATTAATTAACAGGAGTTTATTCTACAGACTAATAACAGACAAATGTGGTGGTTTCTATTTATCAAACTAAGTCAGCACAGAAGTACCAGATACAATCAATACAAAAAATGAACACTATCTCTTTAAAAGCATGTCCAGGGAAAAGCTGTCCCTCCCATATCTTGTATCTCATTTGCTAATTAGTCCACAGTAGAGAAGTATTGGTGCTGGGAGCTGTCATTCTCAACTAATCTCTTCCTTCCTTCAATGTCCAATTCTACTGACTTCTGTTTATTAAATACAAGTTGGAAAGCAGGTTCATTTATCCAAGGAAGGACTAATCATGCAACCTCTGGATTCAGAGAGAGCCTTAATTAAGGTCACCCACTGTGACAAAGACATTTTTTGCTCCTTTGTTCCAGAGAACTGCCCATTATGTGGGCAAAGGCTGATTTACAGAAGTCTGGAAGAAGCACCTGTCAGTATTCCAAGCCCATTTGTTAATGGACACGGAGAAAAATGTTCTTTTTTACTGAAGCCCACTATAGGAACATTTCTAAGGTATGGATCTTCTTTGTTATTCTATGTTTGGAAACAAGGCACGTAGAAGCTATCTTCTGTCATTGCTGGAATATAAGGCAAACACCAATTTAGAAAAGGTGGATTTTTTTTACATCTAATTACTGGAGATCTTTTTACTCAATTAGAGCTTTTTAGAAGTAATTACTCTTGCTAATAAAATAACATTTCTATCTCTAATTGTATTTGAATGGCATATCCAGCCTATTTTTTCAAAAATTCTTCTAATTAAAAAAAATCTCTAATGTCTTTTTCCAAAATGAAACATTAAATGTTTTTCAGAGATTATGATGGAGATTCTGACCTTCATGTTGGAATAACTAATACCAATGGTAAGAAAAACATATAATTAACTTTCTAATATGAAGTATCCATGCATTGTAAGTATACTGTATAGGACAATTTGTATTTTCTATCCTGCAGAGTAGTTTGATTACATGCAGTGCTGACAGCAATATGAAATGGCCTCTATGAAGCAGTGTCACCTAGTGTGGGACCTAGGAAATGTACCTTTGTTGTCATAGCTCCTGCCTCTTGGAGCACCCAGAGATTTGAGGGCCCCAATCCTGCTTATCTTCTGGAAAGTCATAAAGACCTGTGTTTCCCCTCCCCTCAGGCACTGTAACCAGGATGTTCAGTGAAGGTTAGCATATATCTGTGTCTTGTGTAGGTACATATAATAGTTTATGATTGTGTATTGTGGAGAAAATCTAGATTGCTGAGTTGCCACTGACTTCATGACACATAATTTACCTCTGTTTGCTGACTAAAATTCCATTGATTAGATGGATGGGGGTATACATTTGTTAAATAAATACAGTACATGTCCTAGCTACAGCTAGGAAGAGTGTTTTCAGAATTATAGCATAAGAGAAAAGCTGTTTCCTCACTAATAAACCATGAACATCTACAGTTTCTACTAACTCTGATATCATTCCATTCTATTCCATTGGAAGCAGCTTTACGACACAAAACTGCTTCCCTTAAGTTCAAACACAGCTCAAGTCTTCAGGCAAGTACAGTTTTGCTGGTTTATCCCTCAAGCCTTTTCCAATTAGTTTGGCCTGTATAGCTCACTGCTTTTGAGCAAGAAATTTAAAATTAAATTTTTAAAGGCAGTTTGATTCTAGGTTGGGGATATGCAAACTGGTTGCTAGTAGTGATGAGAATCGAAACTGAAGCAGCTGCATATGCCCAATCCTCTTTTCAAACTATCTAGAAATCTATCACACTGACAGAAAAGTGGAAAGGCAACATATCTTGGGGCTGGATTTACTTGATCACCCTTCTGTGCCTTGTGCCTAGTAAACTAATGAGCCTTTGAGAAAGACAAAGGGGTGCGCTTTTGGAAGTATTATGTTTTAAAAATTATTAATTTTAAATGTTTGCTAAATCTCACATTTGTGCAGAAGTTCAGTTCTGAATTGCTTGCAAGGCTAGGATGTTCTTTGTTCAAGGAAGAGTTGGATGCTTGCACACTTGTACTGACAACATGTGAATTAAGATGGTTCTCTGCCCCTCCATTCTTCAGGCCACCACCTTCTTTCTATACATAGGATGCAAAAGCATCTTTAAGAACAGGGGTGTCAAACTGCCGGCCCACAGGCTGGTTGCATCATGCAGAGGCCGCGCCCATCCCAGCTCCGGCAGTGCAAAAAAAGTTGCGATACGCAGCACGGCGAGTTTGATACCTGTGTTTTAGAGTGTTAATTTCTACTCTTTTGCCTTTCTTTCTCTCACTATTTATTGAGGGCCTCAGTATCTGTTTTGTAGCAAACATTGCTGGGCTCTTCTGTTTCTCACTTTTTCAAATTATTTTGTTTTCATTATCTTTTTTCTTTACCTCAAATCTAAACAATTTTAATTAAAGGAAGTTTCTCGCTGAACATAGGGTTTATATACAAGCAGGGTTAGCCTATTCATTAAAATTTCACCAGTCTTTTTCATTTGCTGATATTTTATGTTGAATAATGAGACAATCTTTCAGAACTGTCTTGCATATTGGGCATCAACATGTAGGTTAATAGTCCATGTTGTGCACATAAGGATGCAGCTTGTAGAATGGCAGGCTTGTAGGACAAGCCTGAAAGATTTAATTATGTCATTCAAAATGGGAAGATGGATAAAAGATGGCAAACTCTCAAAGGTTATTTCATGTTTACAAAGTAAATTTAGCATTCAAATATTCTATTTCCGTTAGAATAATTCTATTGTTCAAAATAATATATTTCAATGTTTTTGAGACACCAAAAGCTTAGACAATTGGATGGTCAGAAAAGCCACATTTGGTAAATATTCTTTGTTCCACTATTCCACATTATTCTTATAACCAGGATTTTCAGATAACTTCTGTACATGTCTGTAAAGGAAATGAAAATATTACAAGAGATAGTCACTAAATTACCATTGTATATACAGCAATTTTGCCCTTCTGATCACATCTGTTGTTGTATTTGTAGGTTTGGTTTATAATTACAATGAAACTGGTATTACCATTGCTGAATATGGATGGGAACAATGTGTAAGCATTCCACTTGTGCAGCCTGATATGTATGGCCTCCTTAATCAATGGGATACTTATCTAGAACAATTTTCAACAACAGATATTTGGCTTCCACACAGGTATGGCATTCAAAATGGTATTTGTGACTTCATCTAATAAGTTAAATTTTTGGACTTTGCTTAGGCTGTGAGTTACAGACGAGTCTCATGCAATCATTTGAAGAGAATAAACCCCTTCAGAACCATTGCCTTCATTAACCTGTTCCAAGAAATAGAGGTAGTTCTGGGTTAATGACTGCATTGCTTACCAACTGTTTGAACTTATGATGGAACTGAAAAAGGTGCTTATCCCATGGTCACAGGATTGCCATTTGCAATCTTCTCAGCTGGCTTCTGAGAAGCAAAGTCAGAGGGGAAGCCAGCAGTAAATTGTTAAGTTGCAACTTACGTTAACATTGTGCTGAGTGATGTGGGTGGTTCACTTAAATGATTGCAGGGGAACTGATCCTGTTCACCAGGAACAGTCACATGATTTTTCACTCAATGACTGCATCACTGAGTGATGGAGTTCCCAGTCCCAAATGTAGTCGTTAAATAAAGACTATCTGTTTTTAAACAAGAGCTCTAAATAAACAGATTGCAATTGAACCAGCTGATAGAACTTTGGAGAAATTATTGATCATTCTACAACCGAAAACAGTCCCAGTGTTCTATATTTCTATATGTTAAGATGTATAGGCTTCAATTATCATCAGGTCAAATAAGGTAACACCCTCAGGTGGTAGGTGCTAGATGTTTGTTTTCTGAGATTTCTTCATTCTTCCAGAAGAAAGGTTTGGTTCAGGAAAAGAAAACTAGTCCCAGAAGCAAACTGGAAATATCTTTTCAAAATATATTTTTGAAAAATTGGGATACCTGTATAGTCCTCGACCTACAACAATTCATTTAGTGACCATTTGAAACGACAATGGCACTGAAAAAAGTGACTTATGACTGTTTTACAATAGTTGCAGCATCCCCATGGTCACATGATCAAAATCTGGAAGCTTGGCAGCTGGCATGTATTAATGATGGCTGCAGTGTCCCGGGGTCATGTGATCACTTTTTGTGACCTTCTGACAAGCAAAATCAAGGAAGCCAGATTCAACCACATTACTAACTTAACAACTGCAGTGATTCGCTTAACAAATGTGGCAAGAAAGGTCATAAAATGGGAGAAAACTCATTTAACAATTGTCTCGCTTAGCTGTAGTAATTGTGGGCTCAGTTGTGGCCTTCTTAAGTCGAGGACTACCTGCATTTAATTTATTGGAATCTGAATAGTTTTGAGCTCTTTGTCAATTGCAGAATTTTGTATGAAAGTTTCATTCCATAAAAGTAGCCTGTGTGGAAAAATAAATTGAATATCTTGCTCTCCTTAAAGGAGAGGAATTACATGACCTCCTAATGAGAATAACCTTGGTGGCTAGCATGTGTATTGAAAAATATTTTTTGGTCTGCAGAAAATTATGAACAGATTTGCTTTTTTGTCGCAATACTGGCATTGAGTTTTCATTGTTAAGTGCAGCACCTTCCTACAATCAGCTAAGCAATCTAAATTTTTTCAGCCTTCCATGCAAGAAGCTACTAAACTCACATTTTTCAATAATGCTGCTCAGAGCATGTACAGGACTAGTAAATAATTTATTGCAATATTCTTGTATGGCAATATTCTTTGCCACACTTTTTCTTATTTGTAAACCTATTCTATTTGTAAGGCTGCCACTATTATTTCTATTGTAGCTGAGCACGATAGAAATCTGCAACTAAAATCCAGTGCCTGGCTTGCTTTTTTCTTCTCTCTTATTTAGACTGAATAAGAAGGATCTTTGGATGTCTGTTTGGGTTAAAGAGCAGGATAAGTATGTTAAATAAGAGTTGTTTAGGATTCTATTCCCATTGAGACAATGTGTTATAAATATACCAGAAGTTAATATATAGTAGTTATGCAGGAGCTTTGTTACTTTGAGACTCATTTCTCTTTATTTAACAGGTATGAAGAATGTTTCCATAATTGTTATACTTATGCACTAACATTTATTAACTGTGTGCTGAGTGCCCAAAAGCAACAACAAATGAATAAAAATGAATTTACAGAGAAATTTGTAATTCCGCGAACAAGAAAAGCTTCCAAATATATCACTATCTACAAAGAAATATGCAAGAATGGTTTTTACGTTGTTGACCATCCTGCTCAGAAAGGCAGTACTTCTGCCAATGCCATTTGATTTTAGGCCGAAGCACTTACTGATGGTAAATAAAATTAAAATATTCAAGTTAAGACACAAAGCGTTATTCCTATCTTCTTGTAAAATAAGTGGGAAACATTACCATCATACTTAATTGGACAGAAATCCAAGAGAAATCAGAACTATTTCCTATTATCCATAAAACTGCAGAAACTGAATCACAATGTAATCTTTCTAATAAACGTTTTTCTGTCTGAATAATTATATTTAGTATTATTTTCATTTAAAGACACTGATATGAAGTCTAAGAATCTACGAATAGAAAAAAAAATCCATTCATTGGGATCAAGAAGTCCTTTTTGTTGGAAGTAGAAGACAATTTTTAATAATTCTTTCTCTACTCCAGATGGCACTACACAGCAAAGACAATGACATTTTTCTTTCTCTGGGTGTATTCATGAATAGAAGTTAAGGAAATTCCTACCAACCAAGAAAATTAAATTCAGCATTCATAGAATCATAGGATTGGAAAGGACCTATCAACCACATCAATAAGATGTACTTTTAATTTGGCAGAATGTAGCAAAAACATTTGATTGACAAAAGTTAAAAAAAATCTATTTTTTGATTTAATTTTAATTGATTTAAGCTATCTCCAACACACATGGCATAACCAGAACAACATTTTGAGCTAAGGTTATAGCAGAGATTTATTAACTCTAGAAGTATTAAGCTAATAGTCATAAAACATGCTCATGTTAATTGTCACTATCCATTTGAGCTTTCATAAAAAAATCAAATTTGTAGCGCTCTGTATTATATACATTTAATATACACATGCTAAAAGGAGGAATAGTTAAAATTTATTTAGTTGCTGCAATTCTATTAATATTGCTCAACTTTCTGATTCCAATTTTCACAGCTCTTCTTGTTCACTACGTTCACAGGATGAAACCCAGCGATTTAGGATCAATTCCTTTAAAAAGACAGACATGGGTTATAAAATATGTAAATGTGGTTGCTGAATAATACTGCTAGCTAATGTATATTTTCCTACTGAAGAGATAGCATTTGGGTTGGTTCTACCTTTTGTAAGTATTTGATTCACAATTATAAAATACAAACCGGAGACATGATCATTGGCACAATTATGAAAACTACTGAGACTATTAGTGGAAATGGAAGAATGATTCTTTCCTAAATATTGCTTCCCTGTGGCCTACATATAATGGTTGTTTCATCTCTAAAGAAGGTTATAGTTGATTAATGAAAATACAGACAATCTTCATTATTTTGGAAGGCCATATTTGTGAATTTGATTATTTGTGAAAATATTTTTGTCATCCTGAAATCAGTACCTGCACCACTATCACTTATTAGCAGACAAGCAGAATGGAATTCGGTAATTTGGTATTTATGGCATTTTTACAGAAAGTAACTACACTAGTAATTGCTTGTACTAGTTGCAATAGCACTTCAATGTCATTTGGTTGACCTTCAGATTTTTTAAAAGATCAATCTATTTGATGAATGTTTTACATAGCTGAGATCTAAGGTGTTATTTTTAGAATTGTGCATATTATGAGTTTTTTAAAAAGCTTTTTCTCTTTGAACATATTATTCCAGTATTGGGAATGCTTCATAGACTTCTTGTTATTTGATGGGGCTGTTTCATTTCTAGATAAGCTCATATTCCTTTAAGATTAAAGAATAGAATATCTTGCATTCAAACCATTATTTTCCATTGTTTATTTTATTATACCAAAACCTATTTTTGGCACTGCTCTTTCAAATGCAATTACAGGCAGTCCTCATTAGTGTTAACAATTGAGATTGGCAACTTGACTGTTAAGCGAGGCGGTCGCTAAGTGAAACTGTGGGCTTATAATCTTATTTAAGCTTTCCTTTGCTTTACAGACTTGAGAAGGTTGTAAATCTAAAGTTGCAAAATTACTTTTTCATCACTATCATAACTGCAAATGGTTGCTAAACAAAGTAGTCGCTAAATGAGGTCTACCTGTAACTTATTATTGGACAAATTAGTTTAATGTATCCGGATCATGCATCATTCCTATTTCTTTGGGAGAAATGATGTATTTTAATCTGTTCTAATATATATATGTTAATTTTAGAGAGCTGATAGTGAATAAATGACACAGTATGTTTATTTACCATAGCAGTAAATAAACAAACAAACAAACAGTTCCATTTTCATTTCTGACAAAACATTAAATTGGGAGGAAACATACATACCTGGACTTTCATTCTTTTGAGACATTCAGGTGAAAGCATTTCTTTTTCATTCATATCAGATGGCTTAATCAAATAGCAGAACATGAGTTCCTGGTGACAAATGTTATCAAAATGTCAAGTAAATGTAAATATAATAGATGTTTCTCCTGAAAACTTCAAATTAAGGTTCATTCACTCTTTATAGCAGTAATAGGATAGACAGCGTTATTATTATAATTAAAACAAGGGTAAAATAGTCCTTTTGTAAGAGGGTGTTTTAATCAAAATCTTCTAATTTTCAAAAGAGCGCTGGAAGCTCTTGATCATTTTACTGCACCCGGGGAAGCTCCAAACCATTAGGTGATTTTCTAGAGCTAATTTTCAAATGCCATTTACTCTTTCAAAAATGTACAGTGGGGATTATCAACTTTTATCCTAAATAGTATATTGGGACAAACTAAACGAAACTATATTAAACTAAATGAAAATATACTTGAAAAGTGAGCTAAAAAAGCACTGGGTAGAGATAAGTATTCAAGGAAACCTCAATTATTAGAGAAATATAATCTGAACCATTTGAGTTCCCTAAAAACTAGAAAGCTGAAATTCAGTTTAGCAGCAGGCCACCACTATGAAAGTTTAGTCTTTTTTTCGCTCTTTTTTGGGAAAATGGAATCTAAAATCTGCTTGGTGTCAGTGATGAAATATTAAAGACGGAAAAGAGAAAATCCATCACAGCAGCCTCAGTCAACCCGACCACATTGTGATTGCTTTACAATTCACACACTGCAACATTTATATGAAAGATGATTTTCCACTGTTAACCAGAAACATACACACATACACACACATACTCTCATTTATTGCAAAAGTATTGTAAAATTATTTTACTATACGCTTTATATAATTTCTCCTACTGTACTTAAAGTTATACATCCATTTTCCTCCATAGCATTTTTGGTGTATTTTAAAATAATTCTTCTTATTGGCTACCTTGGAAACATTTGCTGTAGTTCTGTTCAATCCAGACAAAGTTTTCCAACTGAATGGTCTGTGCAACGATCCATCAAAATCATCATTAATTAATTCAGCAATCACAGAATAGCTGGAAAATAACCCGCAATATTTTTTTTTTTAGAATGAAAAAACATGTATTCAAAAATCACAATCAAAATAGCTTAAATACTGATGGCTCCTTCGGCATAAATGAAAGAATCAATTCAGCAAACAACAGCATATTAGATTTCTTTTCATATTCTTTTAAGTCTCTTTTCTGAGATTAGTAAATTAGGGATAGTTTCCCACAGTATTCATTCAAATAGACAAGCAGACTATGTAATTAAAGCTAAGGTAAAATCCAATGTAATATTACGATGATGAGGGCATTTATACCCTCCCCTGGCCACCAAAGCCATTTTCCCCTTTCCAAATCACCTCTGGACAACAGTGAGGGTCCCACAGAACAAATATTTGTGAGGAGAGGTACTTATCACCACCCACTTTCATGTTTTAATTACTTTAATTAGTAGAAGGAGCAACACTGGTTTGCCTTCATCAAAGCAGCATTTGAAGACCACAAGGGCAGCTTTTAATAAAATGCATACTGACAATACACTATCAGTATGCCAAAATCAACATAATTTTTCTTTGTTTGAAATTCCTATTACTGAAGAGTTTGAGACCCTTATTTGAATCTCAGGGCATCTCCAGGGCTATTCTGTGGGTAACAGAACACTCCAGTGTAGGATTGGTTATCTGAATGTTCTTACTGAAGATGGCTACCCATGGGCTCTCCTAATTTGAGGTTATTCTTAGCTTCAGCTTTGGAAAAACAATATTCTGAATTATGTTAAAGCAAATTAGAAACAAACATATAATCATATTTTCAAATAGCATCAAAATTAAGCATAGTACATAGTAAAAATGAAAACTATATCCAAACCTTAATGCTATACCTGGCATGGTAAAAAGGAGGGCCTTTTCGATATAGCACTACAACAAGAATAAAATGAACATCCATTTACTACAAAAGTCGTGTTTTTTGTTCTCAGTTATAACAAGATAAGATTGTGGTAACCCATTATAAAACTTTGAGAATCTAAACCACTTTATAGTAAGATGAGCTTGTATTCTAACCAGTTATAACATGAATGTATTCAAAATAAGTGGAAGTGATACCACATTCTTATTGAAAGTAAATTGATTTTTTACTTCTATCTACTAAAATTTTCACATCAGTAACTGGGCAAAATGGTGCATCATAGGGCAAAACCTTTTGAGCCAAGATACCTCAAGTGGGCTAACTTACAGAATGCATCTAAAAACTGGGTCCCATGACTCCCATGGAACCAAAATTTGACAAGTTTTATAAAAAAAACATGTCAATTTTCATAAAACATTTTATGACATAATACAGAATGTCACAAAACATTTCCAGTGGTCAGTTCTTAATGTCTGACTGTGCTACACAGTTCAACTGGGCTTTATTCAGATGCACTGAATATCTCATTAAAATTTTAAGAACTTTTCAAATAAATTAGAAACCCTGCCATTGTTGAAGGCGTTGAGGAACCTGGAACCTTATAAGGAAACAATGAGCCAAAGGATCACAAGCTGTTTAGTATAGTTTTATTGATGTATAGTAAAAAAATATAATACATCAACTGAACGTGCCACTTAATACATGAATACAATCATATATTCACAGAATAAAGCCCAGCATTATTCTTTGCCAACATTTTTCTCCAAACATAATATATTCCAAGAATATGACAAGCAGACGTAACTATACTTAAAATATGTCAATATTCCTAGCAGCAGAACATCAACCCCACTAAAGAATGATTTAATGTTCAACCCCACTAAAGAATTACTGAATGTAAAGAAAGAGGAACATTCATATGTTCACAAGTGAATGGACCCACTCTTGTACAGTTACTACATTAGGTGCTAATAATGAAAGAATACTACTTACACAAATTAGTTCCATATTTCAGGCCAACTTTAGGGACCCATCCTTTACTGCGGAAGTAATGATAAGCCATGTAGGTAGCCTTAAAATTGGGTTGTGCTTTACTAAAAAGGTCCCATAGCTTCAAGATAGATAAAGGTGCCTTAAAAACACAACCATATTATTATTGCAAATAAATATATTCTACTATTATAGAAATGTCATAAATAGTGCTTTGCAAAATTATAAAAACAAACAAAATAGAAGCCAAGTGTGAAATTAGTTATAAAAAGCAGACAACAGTAATTTGGTAGGGCTATTATTTCACAATGATAAAAGTTCGGCAATAATTTCTGAAAAAATTGTCCTATACATTTTCTTTTAAAAAAATCATTGCCTCATACTTGTATAGAAGTTGACCAGTCAGTTTTAGGCAAAAATATTACTTCAGGAATGCAGCCAAAAATTATTTATATACACAAATAAGTAAAATTATTTACATGAACAAATAAATAGTATTGCTCCTTTATATTAAAGGAAAAATTAGCATCCCTTTTTAAAGCTGGTATAAATAATGTGCTTCATTATTTGCTAATAAGCAGTACTCCAATCAACAGAACTCAAGAATTACTACTGACAACAGGCATTAACTTACCTCGCTGCAATAAATATTTAAACATCCCAGAGCATAGACCAAGAAAAAAGCCTAAAAATAACATCAAATAAAATTAGTTTGTGCATGTTTGAAGTACTAGAATGCTAGGAAAGCTTCCTTATATAATTAAAAAGGAAATCATATTTAAAGATACAAAATTATCTACAATATTTACAATTTGATAAGAAAATGGGATTTAGTTAGATTTATTTACATCCGAATAAGCAAGTATACGATTACAGAAATGTATTTCTATAAAGCAATGATAATAACAGAGATATTTTCCTAAGCAAGTTAAACCGGGAAAAAAAGGATATTCTTTCCCTTATGTACTACCACAAAATGGAAGCAGTCCAGAGAGGAATAAACTTCCATTGTGTATATTAGTGCTAAGCAACAGAAATCCATTGCTGAAAGAGGAAATCAGAGTAAAATCTCAAGGAACAAAAAGGAAAAAGAATATGAGGTAGTAAGACTTGGTGAGTCAATTTTTGCTATCATGCAACATCTGTTGGCAGATGGATTGGTGCTTAATAAAACTTCCCAAATGGAAGGATTTGGTAGACATTATCACTTTGTTGCTCCAATTATGCATGCATCTATTTAATCTCCATCTTATACATTTGCCTGTAAGTTTTCAGTTTAGACTTTTGAAAAAGAGATTTCCTTATAAGGCTTTTTCCTAATACAAGTATATGGAGATGCAAAATAAGAGAGAATATAAAACTTACCTCTTCTAGACTGAGTTGCAGATATTCAAAAATCCTGAAAGGATTTCTTCTGCATACTAATTTTGCTTTTTTAATTAACTACAAGAAAAGTAATAAAAATTATAAGCAATCAATCAAAACATCTCTGTAATTTACATAGCATCAGCTAAAGGTCAACCAGTATTATATTTCCTTTGTGTCGTAAGACATCCTTTTGATTTTTTTTGGCTTTTCATTCCTAAATCCTCAAGCTTTTGCTCTAACATTATAGTAGTAGATCTGCAGGCAAAGACATGACTTTCTGGATGTTCCTATTCAGTCTCATTGGTGTTACAACATGCTTTGGATAAGATAGAGCAATTCAACAGGACTCCTGAAGTAAACTCCGAATTAAGCTATGATTACAGAGTAAATGACAAACATTTCTTGCTGATATCCATCAACTGATTAGTTTCAGAATCTCTTAATAAAAAGGGATAAAGGACATCTATAAAGCAAAATACCCAATTTAATAATTTTAAAATTGACTTTACCATTACCATTATAGCAAGCTATACTTACATGCAATTTCTCACTGGTTTCCTCTTCCATACACAAATCTGATTCTTTTTCTTCTATTAATACAAGCTCATGGTCATATTCACTATTACTGAAACAATGAGATTCTGGTTCAACGTAACTGTCTTCTCTGCAGCTATCATACATATTGAGAGAACATTGTTGTGGTGAAGGAGTTTTAGCTAAAATGTTAGGGTCTGTTATATCTGATTCACTACAGTCATGTTTGACTAATGGATCACAATGTGGATTATCTCTGAAAGACATTGTGTTATTCCCATTAATTTCAGATGAAGTCATTAAAAGCTCTGGTTCTTCTTTATTAGCTTCCATTTTAAATGTTTCTTCATCTTGAAATCTATTACTTTCTCTCCTTTCTATTCTCAGATTAATTTGTTTAGTATAATTTTGCATGATGTTGTTAATTGTGGAGTCATCCATTCCCTGTTCTGACAGACGTTTTTTAGCCCATTCAATACAGTGCTGGTATCTGGAGTAGAAGAAAACAGAAAGTATGGGTTCATAGTAAGTAGACATTCTGAATAAATGTATGAACAATATAAAAATATCTGTAAAACAAATGATCACTTCTCAAGTTTTACTGAAGTCTTAGGTATATTAGGAGCCCCTCTTTGAGGGACATGGGTGATTTAGAAATATGAAAAATAAATAAATAATATCTAGTTTATTTAATCATATATTATATATCCCTGGATACTCATAAATATTTTTTTGTTTATTCTTATATTGCACAACATACAAAGACTACAAGTATGATTGTCTTTCTGGGTTAGTTAGGATTGCCTTATGTGAGAAATCCACACCTTCTGACATTTTCAGAGGTGCACAAAGATTATACTATTATCCACTCAAGCTTTCATCTTTTGATCAAGACAATAGAGCTAAGTGGCATTGAGACAAATACATTAAAAATTCACTACTGTAACGTGCGTGTTATTGAATGATGAGACCAGTAATTTCATTCTTTTACTCCATTTCTTTTATGATTGTTGTATTATTTATTTTATGTGCAAGTTACTCTTGCAACTTGACCATCCGGAGGAAGAGCAACTTGTAGATAAAATAAAAAAGATTACAACAATGTCAGATTGGAATTGTAGAACTGAATCTGAACTGCAGCTTGAGATCTAGGGTCTTAATTACATTTAGGATACATTTTTAAGGAATATTTGAGAATTATTTTCTTTTAAAAAATGCAATACATTAGAGCAAATATTTAATTTCATCATTTATTTGTATTAATTGTTCAGAAGGCAAACTCTTTAATTAGAAATTATTACATTGTTATTTGAGAAATCAAGATTTGGTAGTATTATTATTTAGAGACAATGGCCATATTGTGCATTATTTTCCCACAGAGAAGGCTGGGTTTTCTTGATAGACTGTATACTTTGACTATCCAAGTAAGCTTTCACCTGAATACCATTTTTTAACTGAAATGTCATTCATGCTGACACTGAATCTTACTATTTTCAGTTCCAGCAACTAATATTACGCTGTTGCCTCCTTGAGGTCAAAGTGGTTAAATCAAAGAAAACCACCACTGTGGTTATGCTTATTTTGTCTGTTTCTTCCACAATCATTTCCATTGTAAGTTTAGAGGTTCAGCAACAATCCTAGTTTCTTGTGAATTGAAGCTGAGATGAACCCAGAGACTCATGTAATTCTAATCTTGTAATAGAGAATGGAAATGAGACCAGAGGCAGTGCGTGATCATCCCTATAGGTCAGTGATGGCGAACCTTTTAGAGTCTGAGTGCCCAAACTGCACCCAAAACCCATTTATTTATCGCCGGGTGCCAGGTGGGCGTGGCTGTGGTCATGGCAGATTGGTGGGTGTGGCCAAGGTGGGCGTGATCACCTCGATGTTGCTCATGGGAAGGGATGTCTGTGGGGGCCGCGCAGTGTTGGGGGAAATCCAGGGGGTCTCTGGCAGGTGGGGTGGTGGGCAGGAGGCTCGTCCTGCGGGGTGAAGCGAGGCAAGGTGAGGCAGGGCGGGGGTGCCATTGTCACAGGGAAAGGTGAGGCAAGGGCCGGGGCGGCTGCTGCCTGACACCATCGGCCCCTGAATACAGAGGTCAGTGAGCGCATGGGTGCTGGGATGCATCCAGCCATGAGGGACCTCGACGAGTTAGCGGGCGGCTGGTTGAAAAGGGACGGTTGCCATCTCCGGGGCATAGCACGCATGCCCACAGAGAGAGCGCTGAGTGCCACCTCTGGCACACGTGCCACAGGTTCGCCACCACTGCTATAGGTCACTGCCAATGTCATTAGATTCATGGTATCAGAAAAATTTTGAAATGTATAATGCTGGTGTCTTCTAGACTGGGATATGAAGTATGCTTCAGAAAGAATTACTGATGCCCATAATGTTTGATGATGGCTGCCATAGTAAATTCCAACACTTCCATTTTTAAATTCTTGAGTTGTTTGTTTAGGATTCAAGATTGCTCTGATGCCTGCATTCATCTTTTGAAAAAAACATGGAATAAATTTCATATTCAAGCCAAAGTATGAACACTATTTCTAAGATTCTGCTAACACATACTTAAATTTGTGGTTTTTCAGCATATTTCTTGAATATTTTTTACATTACTAGGAAACAATAGCAATGTCAGATGTGACTTTCACAACAGAACTGAATAGACAAGCAAATTCCGAAGAGTAATTCTCGGAAGCAATATTCCTCACCTAATGATCTATAGTAAACTGTGATCTGATCAAGAATTCTTTAAAAAAAATGTTCTCCTTTAGCTTTCTGGATTGCTTTGACATAACAATATTTTTTTACTCCTTCTTAAATTTGGATAAGGATGTATATAGTAATTTCAAGAAGAAAAGAGATCTTTTGTGAGTTTTTATGATTAGCAGAGGATCTGTAACTGTATAAGTAACTTGTTTTTGCTATCAGAGGTCAGACTGAAAGGATCCAGCAGGTTTAAATATGTTGTTCTTTACAAGGCTTTTTTCTGCATCCCTAAATATAGCAAAAAAGGGTTACTCTAAATTTCAAGCTCCCATAAAGAAGGAACTCATTATTATTGCTTAAGAACATTAATATTGCATATGCCCCATTCTCAGACAAATGTTTTTCCTCTGTAGATTAAAAGTTAGTGAGGAATAAAGCATAGACAATTTTTTAAAAGATCATCCTTCATGAGAATGTATGGGTGCATGTTCTCTGCTGAATTATAAAACCTGGGTCTGAAAAGCTGTAGCTAGTCCAAACTCTACTGCTGACCAAGTATGGCCAGAAACTGTCCTCCATTCAAAAAGGCAAGTTTAAATATGCAACCAGCTTAACTGCTCCAGAAGGAAGTGTTAATTCCAAGAAGGAAAATCACCGATAATTCTGGAAAGACAGGCTTTGCTGAAATTATAATTGAAAACAAGCCATAATAATACGATTTCTTCACTAACCAACATTTAAACAAGTCAAAGTCCCCTATATCAAGCCCTTGTAAAAAAAGTGCAATTCACCTAGAAATTTTTTTAATTGTTTTCTTGATATGAGAACAAGGAAAACAGGAGACCACGCTTGATGCACTTTGTTAATTCTGAAGCAAGATTCAATATATCATATTGCAACAGATGACTGCTAATCTCTCAAAAGTATATTCATGATGTTATTCATGGTAATGAAATGCTTGTAAAAAAACTACTAAGCTGAGAGAGCACCAAGATCCCACAGTTCAACCCTGAATTACAAATATTCTATTCTATTGGTAATACTTAAAAGCATATCAAATTAGGCCTTAAATCATGGGTGTCAAACCTGCTGCGTCACTTTTTTCACATTGCCAGAGCTGGAGTGGGCGCAGCCTCCACATGATGCAACCGGCCTATGGGCCGGCAGTTTGACACCCTGCTTTAAATCATTGTTTGATAATTTTTGGTTCAGAAAAACCTGTCCATATTTAGATTTCTCCATTTTAATCACTTAATAATTGGAACGATGATGGTTTTAATTGAGGAATCAAAGAAAGAGTACTTTGCTTCTTTAAAGTATCTTAACAATGAGACAATACTTATTGATTAAACTGTAATTTTTATAGTTACTAAGCAAGCTCAAACTCTAGGCTAGACAAAGCAAAAAAAACCTTACTTTTCTGATGAGATGATTGGCATATTTAACTTAGCATCTGCAATAAAAAGTGTAATTACTATTTTATATAAATAATATTTCAATATTATTAACGTAATTTGGATACAAGTTTAGAAAGGCACTTATATTTACTATATAATATACAAAATGCTTTATTATGAAAATTACATTGAATGCTGGGAAAGGGACAATATATAAATAAATGGGGTAAATAAATCTAGAAATATGCTGACCTTGAAATAAATTTGAAAAGTGTAGCTGTCTCTTAATCTGCACAGAGAACGCAAAGCAGCACTGTTGCAATATTGCGTAACCCTATGCCTACCACATGCTTTTTTAATTTATCTGGGAAGAGTCTGAGCTGGTTACTCCTGAGGAAATGGACAGAGGTCCTCAGGGAGGCCAGTTTGCTACTTTTGTGCTGGACTGGTGCCCCTGTTGGTTGCTTAAGATCCTCTGGGAGGTGACATGCAATTGGGTCCAAACAGTGATTAATGACTTACTGGAAGATGGGGCAGGGCTACCTCCCTTGAAGGAGGCATTAGTACGCCTGTTTCTCAAAAGGCCTTCTTTGGATCCAACTGAGTTGGATAATTTTTGTCCATTCTCCAACCTTCCCTTTTTAGGGAAGATTCTTTTGAGGGTGAAAGGCCAGGTTATTTGTTGAACTGTCTCTCCCAGAATATCTATTTACTTTTTCAATTAGGTCTGATAGGGTGGGTGCATGCCAGATCTCTTCTTTTAAATGTTACCAACCCAAAGGACCAAGAAAGTGTTCCTTCTCTCTACAGCCCGTGCCTTATGAAATATCCTTTCCCCTGAGATCTGGCAGGCCTCCACTCTCCTAATCTTTTGAAAGTCTCTAAAGAGCTGGCTCTTCCTGCAAGCATCAGAAAAGGGTGAGGCTAGAGCTCAACTGAATGTGACTGTGTAGGAGAGTAGTGCCGGGGGGGGGGGGGGCAGGAGACTGGTTGTTGCTGTTCTGTGATCCTGTCCAGGATTCTGGTATATAAGATGGAGCTATATAAGTCTAATACATATATACACACATGGCATATATACTTCAATTTACCTTTCCATTTAGCAGTCATCATAGGATCTGAAATACTATATTCTGGTCGACTTCTTGAAAGAATACCTTTTCCAAAAAATCCCTAGAAAACAAGCAAAATTATGATACCACTCATTAACAGAACATTCTTTGTTCAGACAGAAGCACAGGATAAGGATCCAAGACTGATTAATGGCTTATACAGATAAAATGAACCCAAAATACCTTGCTATATAGTTGTTCTATATCTTCAGGATTCTTCACAATTACATTGTTATTTATAAATTCAGCCCGGCACATTTTACAAATTCTTCCATGACTGCCTTCTACGGAAGGAGAAATAGGGAATGGAGAATCATATGATTCATATATTTTTCTTTTCCTTCTTGGAGGATGAAAAATTGCTTCTGCCATTTTGTATTATCTTTCTCTTTCAATGGAAGTACCTAAGGGTAAATAGCATAAAGAAATATTTGATATATTTTGTTATGCTCTAAATCAGACATGTCAAACTTGTGACGTCACACAACATATCGGGACGGTTTTGCCATTGCCGGCAATGGGCTGGGCGTGGCCTCCAGATGACGTGTCTGGCCTGCGGGCCGGCAGTTTGACACCTCTGCTCTAAATTGTTTACATTGTCCAAAGCTACGCATAGGTATTCTTCACTTAATAACTTCCCCATTAAGGACCATTCAAAGTTAGGACAGCACTGAAAAAAAATAACTTTATGATCAGTCCTTGCAATTATAATCTTTACAGTGTTCCTGCAATCATCATTGAGATTCGGGCATTTTGCAATCATTGATGCAACCATTGTAGCATCCTGTGAACACCATTTCTGTGCTTCATAACCTGCTTCCAACAAGCAAAGTGAATGGAGAAGCCATCAGTAAAATTGCAATCTGCAGTCATGTGATGTTCTTAATAATTACAGATGTGTTGATAGAACTGAGGTCACACATCCATCATAGTCATGTGACATCTCACTAAATAACCATGTTGTTTAGTGATACCAGTCCCAATTGCAATTGTTAAACAAAGGCTGCCTGTATTCTTAACAGCGTGCAAAGTGTTGCGTAGGTCCAAGTCTTAAAATAGTGGAAATACCAGAGACTGAATATGGACTTTTATGCATGATAACATTATGGCTCTTTACTGAGGTATAGGCTCTTCACAAAACACAAAAGAAATTCTATTTTGAATCGAATATAGCTTCAGGGGATGTCACAGAGCCATCCATACCGGAACCTTTGGCAGTAATATGAGCACTATTTTCTTTTAAAATATATCCCTACTTTCTGCTCTATAGCTTAGCCACTTGCAATGCTCTCCCTCATCCACGTATTAAACAGGTTGGATCATGCTTAGCATTTTTGGAGGCTGGTGGGAAATGTCTAGTGGCTGTTAGATACTGCCATCTGCTCTGGCATTTTTTATAACCTTTCACTCAAAACCAAAATGGGAAAGGAAAAAAAAAAGACACTTGCACAAGTTCTTCTTCTATACAGACCATAAGCCAACTGAGGGGAAAGTTATAATACATCACCCCCATGTAGACATGCATTTTTCCATTATCTTGTTTAGAACTGTTAAGAAAATTTATGGTTATTTTAAACAGTGGTTATAAATGGGTTTCTGCAGGTATGTCCTACTCTTAGAAAGTAAGCAACTCCACAGACTTCTCTGCAAAAATGGAAGTAACAAGAGCTTGTTTTCCTGAGGATAAAAGACAATAGCTCCATGTTACTTTTAGGTCTGACATTCAGACTTTCTATGCCTTCTCTAAGGAGGAAAAGCAGGCATGCACTATATGAATTTGTTACTATGCAATACGTTTAGAAACCCAAAACACCCAATTGTTCTCATATTATTAATAATGCTAAAAATTAACAGAATGCTTAAGTCCCTAATTAGGTTGCTATGAGCATTTAAAAAAATAACCTGTATACTGAATAGAAATCCAATTGGTGCAAGCACAGGAGTCCTGTATCCCTGATTTGGCCTCTATATCCTTCACTTTAAAATAAATTAAATGTTTTAATGTAACTTAACAAGAGGGGCTCCTTATCAGAGATTTTCTGTAACCATTTTTTTTCCCAAAAGATTGCATTTACAATCAGATCAGAGTCTCTGCTCCGCACATAGATGATTACGACTGCAGTCCTTGCTCCCCGTTTGCGCTTTATGGGTTCCCGTAACTGAAAGCGATTATAGCCATATCGGATTTCAAAGTAATTTCTCAAACAAGGAAGCCCAGCTCCCTGCGTCGGATTCTTAATTCTTGAAGAGCATCCCGCTCCTCGTTCATTCACTGCCCAGATAGCCAAAGCGGCACTTTTCTCGAAAGAGCCTCCAGGTTCGAAGCTCTGCGGAAATAACCCTGCCGAATGGCGCGTAGTTAAAAAAGCGAGCCTGGTGCAATCGTGTTCCGGGCAACTCCCAACTAAAGTCCCGATGGAGTGAGGGGACTCCGCTTCGTTTGGCCAGAGCCGCAGAGGAAGTTCCCTTTTAAGAAAAAGCCCCCGCGGAGGGAGAATTCTGCTCCCGTTTCTCAGGCAGCTCCCTTGCTCAATCCAATCCCGCCCGCCAGCCCGCCGAATCCGCGTTCACACGATACACGTGCCTAAGATTAAAAGAACCCAGGTTTATCCCCAAAGCCCCATTTTCTGAGTTCGCGACTTAGAATCCAAGCGGGAACTGAGCTTTGGAGTAAAACATGGCTAAGTGCCCCTTGCACCCGCCGACCTTGCTAAACACGAAAGCTACCCAGGTTAGGCCTAGTTAATGCGTGGACAGGAGACCACCCCGGAATCCCAGTGCTGCAGTCTCGAAGGGGAAATCGGAAAGCAACCCAGCGGAAGGCAGTGGCGAACTATTCCGCGCGGCCGTCCAGAAAACAGCAAGGCAATCCCCTATGACGTCGGCAGAAGTCGAACCCGACCCGAAAGAAACCACCCGGCTTACTAAACTCCCAACATACTTTTATAGTCGAAGATCTTAGTTTGACGACTGTTCTCCTTTACGGTCCAACGTGGTTGTTGTGGCAACGGAGAAGCGCAGCAGAAGGTCGTTCGGAAGATGGCATGGATTTACGGCTCGGTTGCTGAGGCAACAGAGGGGCGAGGGAGAAAGCGCGTGATTACGAAGGGACGTCAAAGGCTTCGTCATCGCTGTTTGTGCAGCGACGTGCCTTTGATGCGGTTGACTCGACTCTGGAGAAGTCTTGGGGGGGGGGAGGAGGGGAGGCTATAATGAATCGAGTCTAGTGTTTAAAGCAGGGTTTCTCAACCTTAGCTAGTTGAAGATAGGTGGACTTCAGTTCCCAGAATTCCTCAACCAGCTTGCTGACTGGGAAATTCTGGGAGTTGAAGTCCATCCATCTTTAATTTGCCAAGGTTGAGAAACATTGGTTTAAAGGTATTGCACGTCTGTTCGTTGCAATGGTGTATCGGGATATTATTTCTGCAGATCTCTGAACACGTCTAGCTATTTCTCTGCAACAGTTTTCCAGCCAGCTTTTTCCAAAACTGTGGATTTATAATGTGGATGTAAAAGCACTTTAAAATGTCAAAAAACGTAGTGATGCATAGTAAATTGGATGTCTTTAGGATTCTGAGGTGCATAGCACACACACAGGCATACAAGCATTGTGCCTTTGGGTCAATATAGATTCTTGGGGAGTGGTCTACATTTTTCTTGGTAAAAGTTTTTGATAGTGGTTTACTTTTGCCTTCTTCCTAGTCAGTAGCTGAAAATCATCCAGCTGGCGTTGTGCCTAAAGCAGGACTAGAACTCATGGTCTCCCCATTTCTAGCCTGGTGCCTTAACCACTACCCCAAATTGAATCAAATATCTGAAATACAATGACTATAATGAAACACTATAAACAATACAATTGAAATTAATAAATATCATGAATATGACTATTTGGAATATAATTAAATTTATTTGCCGCCCGTCTTGCCATGGGGTTGTTTTAGATGGTTTATAACAAAAAAGAGAAATAAAATTTAAACAAAGTGAAAGTAAAATAATAGAACAATAAAATAAACCAGGGGGAAAAAGGAAAATACATCAATATGACTAGTTAAAATGTGGGTGAATAGGGAGCAGGTTTTGCCTGTTTCGCCAGTTCACTAATCTATGAAATTGATAATGGCATCAAGGAGGATAACTTCAGTGCTATTCCTCTTGAACCAAAATAAAGCCCAACAAAATGAGCTGAGCTTTAGCCTCTTACATTATTTTCAATTTGTTTTAACTCAAGCTGAATAGAGTTACCTTGATACATACAAATTGAGAAATTAAAGAAATTTCAGAAGCAAAACATAGCTATTTTCAGTCTCTAACAAGGCTATTTGTACTTGTTCTCTGATAATGCTTTTGGCAATAATTATCTTAAAGATCAAATTTGTGCTTTACATTATTATTATTTTTAGAGGGGGGAAGGCCAGATAATAATACACCACAGTAATTTTAGTTCCAATAAGTATAACAACATAGAAATTTTACAATTCATGGAGACTGTCTTTAAAAGTTTGAAATGCCCATTTGTTGCCAGAAATAGATATGTGTCAATATATTTAGCTGGGGTTAATAGCAGTTCACTTTCTTTCACAGTGATAACAAAATTGCTCAAGTTTAACAGCCCATTTAAAGAAAGGTCAGTAACCTGGTGCATAACGTATGAACTTCCTTTTAGAGGTCAGAATTTGATGGAATCATTTGGAAATACTTCAAGTAGTATTACCTGTAATTGCTTTATATTGAGTTTTGCAGTTGATACAGCAAGATGAATGTATATTGCATTGACCTGGAAATATAATAGACTTCTATATCAAAACAAAGATCTCCCCCTCACAGATTAAAGAAATACCTAAAAACTGCTCCTTGGGGGAAAAATGACAAGTTAAGGACAGCTCGACTGAGGGTGGAGCTAATGACCATGACAGAACGGAATGATAGTGAGTGAATTGACTCTTTGTGATTCCTTTCTGGACAAGGAGACCACTTGGGATTGCCCACAAGTGCTTCAGACAATTACTCTTCATGAGAAGTCTGCAAGCCAGTGATCTCCAATGGGTTTAGAGCTCTGATAGATGAGGGAATGCCACTGTAGTCCAAACCACTGTCAGTGCCCTTAAAGATATAGGGTTCACATACTTTTCTAATCACTTTTGTAAATTGCTTGTTAAGATTTTCCATAATATAATCCTATAACAAGTTTTGAAATATCCAAAGCCATAAAAAAGAATAAAATAGGGAAAGCACCAAGGCCTGATGGATTACCAAGAGTTTTAAAGACCAACTTTTTCAATCACTTAAAAGCGTGATGAATTACAGGGATTTGCTATGCCAGAATCTTGGAAGGGGCTAATAGTGCTTTATTACCAAAGGAAAGATGAAATTTAATTTTAAGAATTATAGATTGATTGAATAATGACTATGAAATATTTACATTAATATTTTCTGATAGAATAAAGAGGATTTTATAGGACTTTATTTATGATAACCAATATAACTATTAAGAGATAATCCCAGAATTGAGCCAGTTCTGGATCGTGGCACTAGCAGATGTGCAGAGGGAGCACTCTCTCCACCGCCCAGTTTCCCTTTGTCGGGTGATCCTGAAAAGGTTTGTAAGTCGCCCTGGAGGGGCGAAAACCATGAGGAGGACCCTTGACAGATTGCAGAAGGGCGGTAGCCCTTTTGTTTGATCCGAGGCAGCTCCTTTGGACTGATGGAGAAAAGATTGGCCATCAACATGGCCGATCACTAAGCCGTACCAGCCAAAAGCCAAAATCACCACCAAGCACAACGAAAGCACTGCGGAGGAATTGGGTGGGACCTTACCTTACCTTTCTTGTATCCCAACTATCTTCCTGTAAAGCAGTGGTTCTCAGCCTGTGGGTTGGGACCCCATTTGGGGTCGAACGACCATTTCACGGGGGTCGCCAAACAATGCAATCCACCATTTTTTTCCCTTTTCCTTAGCTGTGCTACTCCCTTTTATTCTATTGGCTTTTGAAAGCCAATAGAATAGACTCTCTTGAATAGAGTCTAATTCTATTGGCTTTCAAAAGCCAATAGGAATTGTCCAGGCTGTCTCTGCCCTGCCTAGCCTGCCAAAAGTCCCATTCTGCAAACGGTGCTGCACCAGTTGAGTAGTCCTTGACTTACGACCGGTTGAGTAGTCCTTGACTTACAACCGGTTGAGAATCACTGCTGTAAAGCCTTCTGAAATTTCTTCCCCGCTTTTAACATAGCGGTGTCTGCCTACCTTGGAAAAATAAAGCTTTGAAAAGAAAAGAACAACTAATCTAAACAACTAAATAACTGGACTTGTACATTTTGAATATTTGGGGTCCCAAAAAGTTCCAATTGCTACAGGGATCTATTACCTTATCTATTTGTTAAGTTGGGAAAAAAAATTAAACTGGATAAAAGCCTAACTTGTGTCTGGAAAAAGATTTTATATGCTATCGAGGACATCTTGTAGCGCAGCCTGGTACAGCAAGTGAATTTCTTTGACTGTGAGGCCTGCTTACTCTCTAGGTTTGTCCTTCGTACTATCTAAAAAAGATAAGAATTTGAAACAGCTGGGTAGTGAAAACAACTTCTAGGAATAGTGGAGGTGGACATCTGCCGACTGTTATTAAACATAGCCTCCACTAAAGGACTATCTCCAATCACCACAGAAATGGAGGAATTCTACCCACAACTTAACTATAAACTCATATTTGAAAAAATCCTTAAGCCACTGAGCTAATGAATTCCAGAGTGAAAGACAAAGATGTCACCTTAAAATTACAAATTGAAGCCCAGATTTCAACTGATGAACTTACAATCCAAAAAACAACAGAAGAGGAACAAATTAATATCAAAGACGATTCTACACAACAACAAGTATAACTTACAGAGAACTTTGACAGTCAAACCTTGATTTCAATTAAAGAAACTGCAACTCAAAAAGCAACAGAAACTGAAGAAAGCAACACTAAGATAGAGGGTGCTAAAGATCAACAAACACAACATATTGAGAACCTAGATAATCTAGACAATCAAACAACAACTGCAACACCAGACATGACCTCTTATTTTAGCCAGACAAAACTGATAGAAGAAAAAGACCAGACTGAACTGACAATAAATATTTTAAATCAAACATGGAGATTTGAACTATTAGGGCAACAATCTAGTAATCAAAAAGGGGCCAGTTCCTTTGAAAAATTGATAACTGGATGCTCTCCCTTGATTCAAATAACATGTGTAGGAATGAAGGGAGATCCATCTGAGGATTTAAAGGCACTGGCATGGAAGCCTGCTTGGCACAAAAAGAAAGCTAGAGTTAAACTTAAAAAATGGGATTTTCTTTCTTTTCATTTTTTTCTCTTTTTTGTTGACTGATAATGGAAGAGCTTAAAATCTTAATGGGCTAAGGAGATCTTTAAAGATATTGATTGATTTAATACTTAGGACTTAGATTTATAAGGGAAATGAAAATTAGCCATTAGATTATAGTTTTGAATTGTAATGCGGAAGTTGGTTTGCAACAATAAAAGATATTTTATTAGCAAATGATGAGGTACTAAGATGAGAAATAGAATATACTTGTGAAATAAAGTAAGAATGCAATTAACTGAATAATATGTGTATATTAGATATGATAACTATTTTGTAATAAAATAAGGAAAATTTGGGTTACCCGAAGTCTAAATATTATAGGTATTAAAGG